AGTGCTCACCTGCTACACTCTCGTGGTGGCAGTGATTAGCGTAGGCACATCTTCCCCCCCAACCCCCAAGATGGTTTGGAGGTGGACCCAAAACTAGTGCCTCTTCATCTCTTGGGAATTGTTAAAGGAGAAGAAGGGAAGGGATTCTTTGAAAGAGATTGGAGCCCAAGCACAGGCATGTTCATATCATGTTGTCTGATAGAAACTTGGGAGTAGTGGGAATTCAACACCGCGGGTGTCTTACATGTGTCCTGGGTTTTCTCCAATACATCCCCAGGGAGAAAACAAATCAACAAAAGCTACTTTTACCAGGTCTGGAGTAAGATTACTCACTAGAACCTCTCATTATCTTTCTTCCTTGCATCCATAGCACACATCGGAAGCTTCTATTAAGGTCTAGAAATCATGGGGATCAATATCAAAGCCAAACATAAACTTTGGCCTAAAGCCCAATATTATGAAAAGCAGACCAAAAAAGAGCAAATTGTGCCTTTTGCTATATTCTCTCTTGCATTCAAATTGCTTCTCCCTTCCTTCTGGTTTCCCACCTGACAAATGTCTACTTGCCTCCCTAGGCCTAGCTCAAAATCCACATCTTGGGAAAGGCACTTTTTGCTCCTCTCCAGCTGGTCAGTAAGCGCTCATTCCTTTGAAGCCTCCTTCGTGTATGGCCCTGGGACCTGGCCTTTGAGTAGAGTTACTCTTGTTACCCAAGCAGACTTTTGGCCACCCAGGGACAAAAAAAAAATCGTGCCCTCTTCATCTGCAGAGATCCTAGCACAGACTCTGGCAAAGAGTAGACACCAGATAATTATTTGGCTACACTCCTGATCTGGAAGTGGAGAGACGCTGACTTGTACACATCTTGGTTTTTGGTTTAAGTGGTAGTTTAATTATATGGACGCTACCTTTCAGGATACTGAATGCCCAAGCTACTATGCGCCCCTTTCCCATCCTCCTCTCTGAAGAGGCTTCTTTTTTTCGAAGCAACATAGACACATCCCATTTGAATCACTCCCTGGCATAATAAACAGCTCACCCTACGTGAGTCAGCAACTTAGTGTTGCTTTTATATAAGGGGAGATGGAAACACTTGTGCAATATGTCCAATAACACGTTTCTAGGAAATGTTGCTTTAAAAACTCAGGCTTTCAAATAGAACAACTTATCCAGCCCCTTGCGAGGTCTATCATTATTTAGGCTTCTGGCACCGTAAGGCGTACACGTAAAGAGGGCTGTTTCCATGGAAGCACGCAGCACAATCAGAAAACTTCATTTCACTTTAACATTTTGCTGACACCGTAGGAGGACTCCCACGGTAGTTAGGGACTTGGAGTCGTGGTGCCAGGCTGCCCAGGCCTCACGCTCCCTCTGCCTACGAACAGGTTACACACCTGTGCTTCGGTCTCGTTACCTCCAAAATGGGTATTACAGTGATTGTCATCAACTCATAGGGATTTCATCAGGATTCAATGAGCAAATCCAAGGGAAAGTGAGGAGCACCAGTAAACATAATTACTATTTTTCTCCAGTGTGACGGGGTGGGGTGGGGTGTGGGAGACCATCTGTAGAATTTCAAGTTTGACATCCTTACAGGGCAGGAGTATTTGTAAATCCCCACCATGAGTTCACATACGTAGTTCCTTATCTTCCAGGGTATCGATTCCTCTTTTTGGATGCCACGTACAATACACCTCATCTCTGATCTTTCCAGATGTAGCCAATATTCACGTTTATAAAGCCATAGTGTCTCACTGTTCATTACACGAGGGCAAAAGAACTGCAACACCCAAATCGAAATGTCAAGAATGAAAATATCTCTATGCACATGAGGGGGAATAGAGGCTACCAATACTATACCCAACTGTAAATAATTCTGATGTGGGATTCTCCATGTATACTAATTGAAAAAAGTCCTGCGAACTATTAAGAAATACAGCAAGTTGCCGGTATCTTTTACTAAATACATTCATTCATAAAGCAAGAATCTTGAAAATGGAGAGTTATTTTTGGAATAGTTTTCTACTACTGTTGCGTGGGGAAAAAAATCTGAGTGTTCCATTTTGGGTACTTTCAACATTAGGAGAGAATTAGTTGTGATACACTAGAATTTTTAAAAAGTGATGACCTATTTTGATAAGCACAGGAAATGGCTGAAAAGTCTGATTTCATGGAAATAAGAATGGAGCCCTTTCCCAAGGCACCCCCATTCCCTTAAAGATCAGGGTTTAAGATGTTCATTCGAAAGTTGCATCTAGGTAGTAAAACCCATGCTCCCTCCAGTTGGCAATGAAAACCTTGTTTTAAACTTTCTAAGAAGTTGGTTAGGCTGGGTTTGGCTTCACCGTACCCCCGGGATGACACGGACGGTCATGAGGGCTCTGAGATACTGGTGACTAACGTCCACTGCTGTTCATTACAGGGTGACAGCGGTGGGCCACTGGTTTGCGAGCGGCCTGGAGGACAGTGGACATTATTTGGCTTAACGTCGTGGGGCTCCGTCTGCTTTTCCAAAGTCCTGGGGCCTGGAGTTTATAGCAACGTGTCCTACTTCGTCGAATGGATTGAAAGACAAATATACATCCATAACTTTCTCCTGAAGTAATTCCAAAGATGACGAGAGACTTTTGCCAGCTACACTCAAAGAAAATGGCCTTTTTGACTGAGCAGAGCTTCCTGCAGAGAGCCGTCCAGAAGCACTTGTCACGGACAGTGACAAGCTCAGCAGTGCACTGCAAATTTTCATGTTTGCTTTGGTCTAATTTTAGTTTTTTCAGCTTTAGTTTTCTCTTATTTCAAGTTTAATGACAGTCTTTAAACAACAAAGCAAGGCAGATTTTGTTCTTTTGCCAGCCTTCATCTTGACCATAGCACAAAATTATCAGCTCTGGAATAAGGCAGGTGCTAGGGCAGCAGGTTCTAGAAAATCCTCTTTATTCCAGTCCCCAGGAGGACACAGAGACCCAGGCTGATGAATCTTTGCCAGCTTTTGTTTCTCAAGCACAATTAGCAGAGTTGGCAAATCTCAATATTAATATTGGAGACTTGCTTTTGATTTATTAAGAGCCAAGGCATTTTACATGCTTAAATTATTTACTATTACTCAAGTCTGCATAGTTCTGAAAACCTATGAAAAGACAGTTAGAGGCAAAAGACAAGTAAAGTGGCATCCATTTCAGTGGCTGAAATGGCAGGACGTGCTGACACAAAGGTTGTTAGAGTCAACACTAGCCTTTAGCGTTACAGGGCTGCACGCTCTGAACTTAAGTCAAGGATGCGACCTTACAGAAGGGTCTCCACAGAACCTTCCCTGTAGCCGGGATGTGTTCAGTGTGTTATCAGTTGGCTGACCGAGACCTCCACAACTAGACGGATATTTGTGGGAAACCTTTTGTTTTGCCTTATGTGACAATGAATTGACATTAAACTTTGCCAAAGGAAAACTTGCTTCGGCCTTGGTCACTAAAACAAAAATCTAAAAATGCTTTTAAGCGCTAGGTCACTCTATGCACGTCGATTCCCGAAGTAACTGGTGGTTAAAGGTATTTCTCCCCACTGAAAAGCTGCCAAATGCCAATTTTCACACGGAAATAATCTGTCAGGCATCCATTTAGCCACATCGAAATGCCTTCCGAACAAGTTAGGACTCCCTGCTGACCTTCACCAGCAATTTTACACTTCTTTTTTTTTTTTTTTGTACTTCTCTGCATGTACACACATTTCAGGTTTGAAAAGCTACCTTGACACTTTCCATGTTACGCGTCTCCTGCTCTGTGGTTTGTATAAACCTGTTGAGACTGAAATCCAGCAACGGAATGATGGACACAACTGTGTGAGAGCTGAAGAGCATACGTCGGTTTGGTTCTAGCTGTAGGTACATAATGTAATAACCTGTAGCTTCGCTCAACTTCTGTTCGGTCAAGTGTACCGACTGTACTTATTCTACATAACCCTTCATGCAAATAAAATGGTACAATCCTTCTTTTTAATGGACATGGAACATGGATCGCAAGTCCCAGAAATCCGTGCATCCCCCTATAACAGTTGGCCCCCAGATGCCGACCAATCCGAATTCACCTGTCATGTGTCCCACCGGCACAGCAACGTGCTCTTTTGTCTTAGTTGATGGGTGACTCTTTGAAAACGAGAGGTTGCTAATACTCTCAAAGTCCCTCCCAGTGTCCAAAGAAAAATTTAATCCTGGTAACAGCGCGAGGGATCTTTCCAAGAGTACATCTTGGGAGCCTGATACAATTCTTTCATGAATCTTTTGGGATAAAATTATACCCCAAAATGTATATCATTAAATCAATTTTTCCTGGTTACCAGGAGCAATGATACAATGCTTGGTTCCCCGAAACTTAGTAAAATACACTGAATACCAAAATGCAACAGATCAGATGGGCTTGGGTAACTCTGCGTAAAACTTATTTATTTGTAAATGAGATCCTTTAAAGCCTCACTACAGATCCCAAATCTCTTTTACCCAAGGGCCAGACATGTTTCAGAATCCAGAATTTTTCAGAAATTAAAAAACACAACTTATCACCCAGTAATAAAATGCATTTTTATAGCAAAGTATCTGAATAATTACATTTAAATAAGTTGCCTTCCATCTGTTTAGGACATTGAATTTTGCCTAATTTATGAAAAAATTTTCAGCTTCAGAGCTCTTGGGATTTTGAATTGTGGCTAAGAGATTGTGAACCTATAAAATGAACACTCCAGACTTTCTTTTAACTTGTATGCACGGATACTTGACATCCAAGAGACTGACTTTTTTTCTTAGTCCTCTTGGCTAATTCTTTTTATCTTTAGATTCTAATCTTTTATTTATATTCAAGGGATGAATGGCAGCTGCTATGAGGATAACAGCTGATATGACATTACTGATTTTCCCATATAAGAAAATTCTAAATTCTAAATTCTTCTAAATTCTGGTACCGATTACTATTGGATTCAGTGGTAGGCACAGGAGTGATGACAGTTTTTCATACATGTTTCTTATTAAACAGTTTATTTTTTAAAAAATCATTAAGAAAGCAGAAAGCAACCTCCAATAGCCAGGTGCGATTTTGAAAGTTCTAGCAATCCATCTGTATGATATAAGACTATTTGCAGTAATATCAATTACCCAAAAAAAGTCAGACCAGGACAAATAGGCAGCAGGAGATGATGAAGCCCTGAGAATATCAGATTAATAGTCATAAGACCTTGATACAGACATAGAAGGAGATTTCGGGAAGGAGATTCTGGGTGGCTCGTGGCCGACAATTTTCAGATGAATACATGTTGAGCTTTAAAAGAACTCGACAAGAATTGATGACCTCCTAACATCTGAGCTTAGCTGAACCTAGTCTCTGTTCCAATGAAAACGGGCATACATGATCTGCAACAGCAGTTCGCTTGCTGTAGACATTCCCGTCCTAAAATGTACTAAAAAAACACATTTTTCTAAGAACCTCATGGAATCCTGAGAACCACCTGTATTAGTCTCAATTCATAACAGCTGATCTTTAAAGGTCACAGCACCAGAGAAGTTGTAGGGTACTGTAAAGACGATGAACCCTCAAACAGTCTCTTGAAGATTGTCTTCAAATTGATTGTCTCATTTTGACCCGGCTGTCGTCAGCTTCAGAACAGGGCAACTGGCCAAAGGGGCTCCAGACCAGCTGATTCAGTCTGCCTGAAGACCTCACAAAAGGTCTTCTCTTGCCTGAAAGCGGAGAGAGGAACACATTCCTCCAGAACCCTGGCATCCCTCTGCCCTTCCCCAGGAAGACTCCGCCTCAAGAGAAACACCGAACCGAGCAGAGAGGTGTATGCCTTACGCCTGCGGTCAGATGACCAAAGGCATCTTCCCGGAGGAAATAAAAATCCATTAATAATCACTGATTACATTTTAAATAGTACAGTTATTACCCTACTTTAGGTACATTGTCACTTAAAAGGCTCTTGGGAATTTTTTTCTCTAGAAATTAACGATTTGTAACATTTTTTTCACGTGGAAATCTCTTCTGAGTTCTAACGGAGCTAAAAACGACTTTTTCTTCATTAAAGAAAATTCAGATTGGAGTCTGCTCGTTGAAAACATTTCCCTGGAATCTGAGAGCTCCCAATAAAATAAACAGATCTCAAAAGAATCGCCCAAGAATTTAAAATAAGACAGTTTAAAATGCTTTCACAAAATCCAGAAAGTTTCATAAAAGCGTTGGATTCGGAATTAAATAGTCCACCTCCCCAGACTCAGTTCAGGTTCAAAATCCAACCTGTCTTACAAATGTACGTACAAACATCCAGAAAGTGACATCATCACACTGGCTTTTCCAGGCACAGTAGAACGTCCACGTCCTTTCAGGAAAAATCCACCTCGTTCTTGCTTGACAGAGGTGTCTCTTCCAAATCTGAAATGAGATGTGCAACTGCAAGGAGGATAGATACCCTGTTTTGGTTTTGTTTTGTTTTAACCCTTCGAGGGCCCAGGCATCCCTGAGATTTTCTTTTCACAGAAGTCTGAGTCCAAAACAGTTTCATGTACAGATACGCTTCCCTGCTCGACAGCTCTGGAAGGTGCAGGCATCCTGGCAAAGGCAGCAGAAGGGCCAGGTGTGGCTCTCTTCTCTGACTTGGCAGCCGGGTGGTCAGCGTACTGAGCGGTCACCTGGCCCGTCGTTCCGGCCCTGCTCCACTTCTTGAGAGCTTCAGTTCTCTCCTCTGGCGTCAGTCTGTCCAGATGCTGAGCCCTCAGAACTGGAGATGGGAATAGGGATCCCTGGAGAACTCGGTATATGAACCTAGGGGACAGAAAGCATCACAGAGTTACAGTCGCCGCAAATGCCACACAGGACACACACACGTACTCCCCAGTTGGAAAAAATAACAGGGTCTGGTGGCCCCTGGCCTCCTTGAGGGAAAGGGAAAAGATAAGGACGCTAGAAGACGGAGACTGCGGCCCTACTAAGTCAGTATTTGTAAAGCACTTAGAAAACGGTGCATGTTTTCTGCAAGTGCCTGTCAAGTAAATACAAAATAAAATCTTTAAAGTAGAGGTACTAAAAAAAAATAAAAATTAAAAAAAATAAAGTAGAGGTACCAATACTGTGCTACCTCACAGACCTCACGGTCGGCCACACAGGCCAGTACAGGGAAAGCGCACGTAAATACACAGACAACGCTGGTGTTAGCTTCCTGGACTCCTGTGACACGGTACCACACACGTGTCCCCGAGGGTCCCTCCGGGCCAGCATTCTCCTGAACCCTGTGGGTCCTCCACTTGCGTCCTGGGGATCGTGCTGTCAGCCAGGGGGTCCCTCGGAGCTTTCTGACCGTGGCCCACCTCCTGTCCCGGCGGCTGCCGAGGTGGCTGGCGGGATCCAGGGCACAGTCCTCATGTCTTCAGCACGAGCCACAGGCTGTCCAGCCCCCCTGTTGGCCTCCTCTCGAAGGCGAATTCCCAAAAGCCCAGCTCTTCCTGTTCACAGCTTCTGGAATCTGCATAGGCAGAGAATCCCCTAAATCTAGTTTCTCTGGGTTTAATAGGCCTTCCCCTCAGTCTCCTTTCTCTCCCGTTTTATGCTAAGCAGAAGGAAGAAACCAGGCCGAACCTTCACCACTAAATATCCAAGTTCATGGTTCACAAATTCCGCTTTCCACCGAACAGGGGAACCCACTTCAGCTAAGTTTTCTGTGGCTACGCTGCCAAGATCTCCTTGCCTCAAATTTCCACTAACGCGTTTCTCATTTGTTTTTTTTTTTTCGGACTCCTCGCAGGCGGTGCCTTTAACATCCACATCTCTAGCAACATCCTGTTGAAGACGTATTTTCTAAGCCGATGTGGTTTTCTCCACCTGTGCCACTTCCCACTCTGCCCTGAATCTCACCAGCAGGAGCTTCAGCGTCCATCGTCACCCACAGTCTGCTTAGAGACGTCTGCTGTTTGTCTATCTCGCACCCCTACATCCTCCCGGTCTCGGCCCATCAGCCGGCTCCAAGCCACCTTCACCTTTTTTCAGAATTTGTTATAACGGGCGCCCACCTTCCTGGGAACAGAGTCTGCCTTCGCTTTCTGGGGCTGCTGTCACAAATTACCGCACACCTCATGGCTTCGCACCACCAAACTTCATTCTCGCCACTGTTCCGAAGGCCAAGAATCCTGACATCAGTTCACTGAACCAAAATCTAGGTGTTGGAAAGGCCACGCGCGTTCCGCAGGCTCCGAGGAGAATCCGTTCCTTGCCTCCTCGAGCTGCCAACTGCTGGCTTTCCTTAGCTCGTGGCCACGGAATCTCTGCCACTGTGGTCTGTGTCAAATCGTCCTCTGCCCCCCACCCCCTCTCTCAAGGATACATGGGCGTTTCGAGCCCACCAGATAATAGAGGATCATTTTCCCATCTCAAGATCCCTAACTTAATCACGTTGCAGGAACAAAATCCAGAACCTTCACAGACTCCAGGGATTACGGATACATCTGAGGGGGTCATTTCTTTCCAGCCTGCCACAACGATATAAGAATTGTACTGTGAATGCTCTTGAGGGTTTTTTTTTTTTTTCAGTGAGACTATAGAACTCTAGAGGACTTGTTTCTTCATGAATTCTACAAGTTCATCTTGTTGTTAATCTAGAAGCTGGTAATAACAGTGAGTAGTGTAAAGCATCTCAGTTTGGCAGGGATGTTGTTACGTACACAACCATAAACACCACAGAAGGACTCCAGTGGGTTTTCCTTCTACGTTTCTAGAAGGCACGCCCATCAGTAACAAAGGGAGCGTGCCCGCTGGGTCTTAGGATGGTGTTACAAACTGGGGGTGGCTGGCGAACTTTCCTCCAGTGGGCCAGACAGTAGTAGTTTGGGGTCTGCGAGCCAGACAATGGTTCGGGCTCTGGAACCATTCACGTCTGCGGGTGCAGTGCAAAATCAGCCGCAGACAGCACATGAGTTAGTGTGTCTCCGTGCCGATACAATTTTATTTACTTTTAAAAACAGGCAGAAGGGGACACCTGGGTGGCTCAGCGGTTGGGCACCTGCCTTTGGCTCAGGTCGTGATCCCCGGATCCGGGATCGAGTCCCACGTCGGGCTCCCGGTGCATGGAGCCTGCTTCTCCCTCTGCCTGTGTCTCTGCCTCTCCTCTCAATCTGTGTCTCTCATGAATAAATAAATAAATCTTAAAAAAAAAAAAAAACAGGCAGAGCGCCAGATCTGGCCTGTGAGCCAGTTCGTCGACTCTGTTAGAGAATGACCTATGATCACCATTTTGACTCTCCTATCATGTCTTAAAAGGCAGAACAATGACGTTGCAAAGTGTTTCCAGCTAAACAGATGGATTTTATAACAAACAGAAAGAGACAGAGCCATAGATTAAACGCCCACGCATACTTCTTAGCCATTTCCATCCCGGACCATATTAGAAATTCAAGTTAAACTAAAATGGGAAAGAGAACTGGACTCAGATACAAGAGGGACATTTCCAGTGTTTATAAGGTCATATAGAGGCCGCTACTTGTCCCTTGGTACACATTCTCCTGTTTTTTTTTTTCTTTCCCTTTTAGAAACCCTTAGACTTTAGCCACTCACAGCCTACACACTGAGGTCCTAGTTAATGGGAAATGAGCAAGGATGTGCAACTCCTGAGTCATGCCATCACAAATTAAAAACAAAGCAAAACAAAAACACAAAAGAGGAAAGCTGCTTGCGCTCTCTTTGCTCTCCTTCTCCCTCCTGCAGGCAGGGATGCGCGGAGGGTGAGTCATCTCCAGTCATGCAGAGGAGGGCAGCACCCGTGGGAGTTAGCTGAACAGAAAGTCAGAGGGAAGGATCCTCATCTAACCCTGTGGGTGAGGCTGCCCTATCTTTGGGGCATGGCAACCAGATGAGAATTTTCCATGAGAGTGAAAAGGACTCTTCCCGTTTGCTTAAACCAGATCCATTCTCTGGTAAAAAGAGATAAAACCAATGTTTTCTCAGCTATCAGTGAAAAGGACGGTCTGCCACCCATTCTCAGCAGCTGCTTGAAGAATTCTAAGCCTGTGATTTCACGTCCTCTCTTGATGGGGAAACACCATACCTGGGCAGAAGGGCGACGCAGGTTGTGAGGACACAAACCAAGTAGAAGACCGGATCCAGCATGTGCTCCTGCATGATCCAGTAGGGGTTGGATGGTGGGTTGCAAGTTACACACATGGCTCCAAAAACCAAGGCAAAGACAAGATAAGACAAGATGCTACCAACAATCACCAGCATGTGGATCCAGGTCTGCAAGACAGGAAAACACTCTCGCTGAGGGCTCTGCATCTGCAGGAAATCTGCCCCCTCGATGAGACAACGTGTCTAAGCAATGAATGAATGGTGTCATGAACCTCCGTGAACAAAACACAAAATACCAAAGAGATAAGAGCACCTTTCATGAGTAGCTTGTATCACTGTTTAAATTCTGTAAAACTAAGTCAAATGCCAAAAGGTTAATTCCCATGACCATTCTATTTTATATTGTTCATGCACCGTGAGATGTTTGGATTCTCTTATTATTATTATTTTTTAATACAGTCGACTACCCATTGGTCTGTTTCTTCATTAAGGTAATACTCCAGTCCTCAAACTTTACCCATTCACATGGCTGGTAGACGTTACCGTTCCTCATGGATATTCTAATTTCTTCCCACTGTGAGCATCTGGAAGGATTGCATTTGCTCACCCCTTAGATATAAAGCATGGCCACATATCCTGCTTTGACCAATGAAATGCGAATGGAAGGAATACAGAAAACATCCAGGTTAGAGGCACAGAGGAGCTGGTGTGCAATTTTCCACACCGTCTCCTTCCCATCCGTGTTGACTGAGACATTCGTCCTGGGGAATAATTCCAGATGGTAAAGCTACAAGACACAGCCTGGGGCACTGAGCTGCCCCCTCCGACGACAACTACTCTGAGTTATCTGGAACCTTAGCTAACTTTGTATGAGCAAGAAACAAATCTTGTGTATCACACCTTAACCTACCACCTTCCTATCCGCATATAGCTTGGAAGGTTTCTTAAACTGCCTTACTATTTAAGTAACTTCACTTAGGAAGAAAAGCAGATCACCACCTTAAATGCATTCTCGTCATGACTCGTCACGGGAGTGCTGAGTCTAGAGTCTGACGTTGGTTACAAAGGGAAACTGATGTAATTCTAGGTGTGAAAGCACATCACCTTCAGGTTATGCAGCCCTCAGTGCTCTTCAGTGCAGGGGACAGCACCCCCTGATCTCGTGGTGTGTGTCCTAGTGGAATATGGCATGCCCTTCTGGGGGAAGCAGGGCCTTTATTAATATCTCCTAAGGCTACAATTTTCAAGCAAGTTCCAATTCTCTCCTTTTCCCCCTTAACCTTGCAAAGGATTTCCCCATGGAAGATCACAGGGGTCACAAAGACTTTTTTTTTTTAATTTTTATTTATTTATGATAGTCACACAGACAGAAAGAGAGAGGCAGAGACACAGGCAGAGGGAGAAGCAGGCTCCATGCACCGGGAGCCCAACGTGGGATTCGATCCTGGGTCTCCAGGATCGCGCCCTGGGCCAAAGGCAGGCACTAAACCGCTGTGCCACCCAGGGATCCCAAGACTTTTTTTTTTTTTTTTTTGCAAACGAACAAACCACTCAGAAAATATTGGCTAAATCCTGATGATCATCATCCTGCCTCTTACACAATGATCTGCTATTTTTTTTCCTTCTCAAATGTCTTCCCGTCTCATTGAACCCTATTGCCTGAATTTTTTTTTCCTTTCTTCAGATGAGCTTTTGGCAAGTTAGCTAGCAGCTTGGGGGAGCTGGTGCTCAACACAAATTGAGACAGAGTCAAGAGAGGGGTGGGAGGTGCCAATGAGATGAGGAGCCAGAGCAGGAAGGGAAGCTGCTCCGGGGTCTCAGGCGGACTCTTACTGACGAGGGCCCTTCAGAGAAAAGGGGTTTAATGACATGTCCTTTCTACAGCAGTCACCGTTGGCCTTGGCACCTGGCTCTCACTCTCCTCCTTAACGCAGATACCCGGGCCTGTGCCGTCTTGCCACAACATCCTGCCTCTAGCTAAAGCCCAGGGCTGAAGCTAAGGAAACAGAATTCTGGCTCTAGGGACTAAACTCGGGGCACAATGAGGCAAGAACAGAAAGAGAAGGACTGCAACCAATTCAGAGCAGGACAGAGCAGGCCTGTCCATTAGCCTTGTTCCCTGGACTTCTGGAACCACTCTGGTTCCTCAAGGCGGTTTTGTTTTGTTTCGTTTGACTGTGGTTCTTCAATATATTTTTAATAACTTTTCTATTTGCTCAGGTCGCTGTTGCTCATAACCAGTGAACCCAAACGGACACACTGATGCATTAGGCCCTTTGGAGCGGTCCTAAATGTCAGGACTGATGACAATGCCGAAGGTAGTAACCAAAAGTGCCTACAAAATTGTTTAAAAATGAAATCAAACAGATATTAAAATAATGCCAAATATTTTGGTTCTAGAATTCCCTTTACTCTCCCTCCCTGGTATTTTCAGATATTAACTTTTTACTATACTTTTAGGCTCATACAGTTTGATGCGGGCAGGTTATAAGCAAAGCAAGTGATATCAAGAACGTTCCTTAGAAACCATTATGCTTTAAAAATTACTATAATTTTATAGTGTAACAACACATAAAATTTAAACTATAACCTCATTCAGCTCTGTCTGAAACGCATTCACTACCAAGATGGTAAACATACCCCCGAATACTGGTTAGTCGTTTAATCATTTGTTTATCCACTCAAACATTTCTGAGCACCTACTGTGTACAGTCTGGTCCTAGATTCTAGTATATGGTGGTCAACACAAGAAAAATGAACCCTGCCCATCACAGAGATTATAGCCTAATGCAGAAGATAAACATGAATCAGATAATCACATGACTGATGAATAATAAGAAATTATTGTTATTGTGATGAAGGAAAACATGAGGATGGTATGAAAAAATAGAGGCTTAGGGAAAGCCTCTTGGAGGAAGCAGCATTTCTGCTGAGACCTAAAATAGTATGTAAGCCGGGTAAAGAGCAAGGGACCACGGGAAGAGTGAGAATGCTCTCCTCAGAAGATATGGTGAATGCTAAGGACCTGACGTGGTAACAAGCTCACTGTATCTGAACCACTGAAGGAAGGACAATGTGGCTCCGGTCAATGAATAAGTGGAAATGTGATTGGAGGGAAAAGTAGAGGCATCACTGCATGCAGTCTTGTAGGCCATCTTATTAGGGCTTTTCAATGTTATTCCAAGTACAGTGGAAAATCACTAAGGGTTTTACCCAAAGGACAGGGACAAAGTATGATTTGTGTTTCAAAAGGAGGATTCTGGTTCTTTTGTAGAAACGGCTGGAGGAATCGAAAGTAGAGATAGGTGGGAAGTCTAAGGAGGCTGTACCAGTAGTCCCGGAAGTGACTTAGACGATAGCAAAGCCAATGCCAACAGAAATGAGTGACAGGTAGAGGTAATCACAGAGGTGATTTATTCTCCAGAGATGGGTGGGATGTTCTGCATCTGCAGAGGAAGGTTTATCACAGAGCTCTCACTATCTGAATCCTACACATTAGCTTTGCTGCAGAGAGCTACTGTACAATCATTTTGATGAAAAGAATTAACTTTCTCATTAAATTAGCAACTAAGATTAAAAAAAAAAAAAAAGACCTAGATTTAAATGAATGGTAAAAATTCCGGAGGTAAGAGAACTTTTTTTTTTTTTTTGTAACATGAGAAATTTTGTGATAAAATCATCACTTACTAAAGTCAGTATACCAGGATTATGACACGACATCTCTTTTTAGTCGAGTGACATCAGCACGGTCTTGAAGAATTCTGGTCACTGAAAGGTAACTGTTTCTCCAGCTTGACTCATGCCTCCATGAACCATCCCCTCCATGGATACCACCAAGGGGACCAGGTAGGTATTTTCCACTTTCCCTGGCTATACATCAACCTCAACATAACGGCACTCAGCAATCAACAAGAGTAGCCATGAATCATCCTTCTTACTTGGCATCATTATACTTCTCGTTACCATGTGTCTTCTAGGCATGAAGGGTTTAGCAGAGTCACCGCTAACAGAAGACATTTCCACAATCACAGTTTCAGGCTACTTCAGAGGCAGGAAAACCACTCACCAAACTCTTGCTTTCAATCACCAGGTGGAGGATAATGATGAACAGAGCAGCCGTGTTCAGGGGGTTTCCGAATGTAAAGATGTCAATGTCTGAGCCCTGGTAGGTCTACAAAGAGAGGACAACAGGCGGTGATCTGGGAGAGTTGTACCCTCAGTGGGAGAGTTGTACACTCAGTGGTCTGAGTATCATCCCTTTATAGTTTAGCTGAGGTAGTTCCTTCTTCAATGTTCCTAATAATGGGTCAGTTAGGATAAATGTGAATATTTCCGAAAGAGAAACTGACTCCTAGGCCATCTAATTTTTGAACTTTTCAGTTGGAATGCCTCTTTATCCTGAGTCATAATTCATCCTCCTGGATGAATTACACTTTTTTACTTACACTTCTGCCTTCGACGTAGAGAATAATATCAAATATGTCTGGTTTAACAGAGCTGCAAACCTCTGAGGCAGCTATTAAGGCTATCCTGAGGGACGCCTGAGTGGCTCAGTTGGTTCAGAGTCCGACTCATTTTCGGCTCAGGTCGTGATATCAGGGTCCTGGGATCAAGCCCCATGTTGGGCTCTATGTTTAGTGTGGAGTCAGCTTGGGATTCTCTCTCTCTGCTTGTGCGTGTGTTCATTCATTCATTCATTCTCTCTCTCTCTCAAAAAAGGCTATCCTGAGTGTATATCTCTGCTAAGTAAACATCCCCTCCTCGCCTACGTGTATGTCTTCAAGTTCTTCAAGTATTCTTCTAATGACAATTTTCTGACCTTCTGCAATTCTACTCACTCTCTCCTACTTACCTCCAGAGTACCTCATCTGTATTCCTCTTGAAATGTGGTATTATCCAGAATATGCTAGCTGGGCAAACTCAAGGCATTTTATTTAAAGAAGGAACTAAAGAACAGAAGTTGTTAACTTGAAGACTATAATTTTTTTCATTCTTAATACTGTGTTTTTGTTAACACCAATCCATAATCAAACTAGTGTTTTCTCCTGGATGGGAGTGTATCTAGGAGTAGGCCATTGTATCATGCTGCTTGGTGCTTGGTGTTGGCCTGAATTTTAAAATTAGTTTTTATACTTTTGCTTAGGCGCATTTCTTCTATCCTTCACCTATAAAACAGGCTTTTTAGAGAGACTGTTTATAAGAAGTTAAGTTTAATACTATGAATATCAGCCTAGTAGAATTTGCCCAGCACTAATAATAGATTTCATATCGACTTTCTATGATTTTGACTCCTCTCATTATATGCCTGGACTCTCAATTTTATTCAAGTCATTTATAAAAATTATCAAGCAGTACAGGGCTAGAACAGAGACTCAAGAGGAATCAGCTATATACTTCTCTCCAAATTTAATCCATTGTCTAACATGTTTGGTGGAGGACATAATAATTTAGTCAGTTAATAATCAACTTGATTATCTGAGCAAGCTACCCTAATATATCCATTCTATATGCTGATACTGGCAACAAAGAAACACCATTGATTCATTAGTTAACACACACTTTGAGTGAATAAGGACTCACGTAGTAAGGCACAAAGAAGCAGACCAGGCTTTGATAAAAGGCATCCAACAAGGTGATCCAGAAGGTAAGGGGTAAGTATGCCTGAAAAGGAAACAGATATGGTGGAGGGACCAAGATTAATAAGGGTCAAAGCAAAGTCAAGGAACAACACAAGCTAATAATTATTTTCGCTTCTTTGAAAAGAAGACTGCATTCCTTTGTTTTCTCACTCACAAACTAGGTGGGCTTTGCAAAGAGTAGAAGAAGAATAAGGTGTGAAGTTGACTAATCGGTGAAAAAAACCCAGGAAGGAACTCTTCAAATTATGTCACTTATATCAATGGATCAACCTTAAATCTACTTGAGAAAGGAAAAGTGGTACTAAATTCCCATTTCCTATTGATCAGGTGCTGTTTCAAAAACGTCTCCAAATTCATCCACTTCTATCTCCAATCTCATTCACCATCAACTCTATGAATGACTGAATAATCGCCTAACTGGCTTCTTTGCTTCTTCTCCTTTCCGTAATCCAATCTTCCACAGCAGTCAGATGGTTTTTAAAAACTATAAATCAGGTTATACCATCTCCCTAATTAATCAAACTGACCCCCTCCAATGCCTCCGATGACTTCCCACTGCATTCCCAATACAAGTTCCTTCCCATGGCCTGTAATGTCCTGGAGGGGACAGGACATTATACGGGAACCCTTGCTCTCCAGGGTCTCACCCTACCATCGTTATCTCTCATTCATTATGATCCTGCCACAAGCACCTTCTATTTTCCAACCTTGCCAGACCCATTCTTTCCTTGAGATTTCACCTGTGCCCCTCTCTCTTCTGCCAGGATTCTCTCTGCCCTGGACATCCCATGTGACTAGTTCTTTATTATTCACATCCTAGCTCAGTATCAGCTCACGGAGGCACTCCCAGGCCAGTCTAAAAGTTATACCCACCCCGTCACTTACTACCATGGCATCCTTAGAAGTCTCTTATCACCTCTGGAAATAACATCGTTTACCTAAGGATTTTCTGGTTCTCTCAAAAGAATGCAAACTTTATACAGTGGGGCTTTGATTTTTGTATTCAAGTGAGTGAAACAGTACCTGGTACATAACGACTCAATAAATATTTGTTGAGTCAATAAATAATTCCTATTTAACTTTTCATGTGCTAAACCACTTTTAACCAAAAGTCTATTATAGAAAGAAAGACCAAGTTCAAGTAGAGACATATCAAATTCAAGTGACTGAAAACAGGTTTTCAAACAAGAGCCACCTCTGATTGAATGTTGGTGTGTGTGCAGAAGGACTCGGAGGCTGTGTTCAGACCCAAGAGGAACAACAAAGTGCTCTGGTTTATTAGTGATGTCTGCCATGGACAAAAATTGCAAGCCTTATATCTCTGAGCTAGTCTTCTCTTTTCTTTACGTATTCTCAATCTTATTTCCCTACAAATGTGAAAAGGATGAAATATCCTTGAAAATAACCAATTGCCTCCTAACTAAGTTTTGTAAATATACAAATTGTCTATACACATTTTTCTATTCTTCAACAGACTCTACTTAGAATTTTAAAATCAATCTTTTTAAAATTTAAATTCAGTTTGCCAACATATCGTACATCATTAGTTTCCAACGTAGTTTTCAATAATTCATCAGCTGCATATAACCCCCAGCACACATCTCATCACGTGCCCTCCTTAATGCCCATCGCCTAGTTACCCCATCCCTCCACCCACCTCCCCTCCAGCAACACTCAGTTTGTTTCCTAGAGTTAAGAGTCTCTCATGGTTTGTTTTCCTCTCTGATTTTCCCCCATTTAGCTGCCCCACCTTCCCTTATGGTCCCTTGCACTATTTCTTAATATTCCACATAATGAGCAAAATCGTATATAAAATCTATCCTTTAAAAAAAAAAACAACTCCTCATTCTCTGGAAAATGAAAGCAATGAGGATTTGTTGTTTCTAATACTGTTACTATCATTGTTCCTTTTATTATACTGTTATTGTTCCTTTTCCCTATGTCCTCTTTTACTATTTCCTCCTTAAAAATGATGGGATCTTCTGTCTTTCGTCATCCAAAGGTCCATGAAAATCTAAGCAGAAGCACAAATGACAAGAGAATGTGGTAGCATCAAAGGGGCCACCAAAATGCCACCAGACAAGAGAGAACCATCTGGGATAAGCTAAAATGTAACTTCATGCTTCCAGAGGAGTGGAAGTTGCTCAAAAAAACCTAGAGAAAAAAAAAAAGTAAAAGCACAATTACTCCACAGTCACGTGAGTAAGGGAGCTTTGAAAGCAAAGGAGGGTAAAAGATAAATGAGAGGCTGAAGAGGCAAACTCATGGGATCTCCTGGAATCTGGGAGGGAAAAATGTGCATGTGAAGTCAAAGCCAGGAAAGGTGGCTGTGTGGGTGAGCAGAGACGGGTAACAGGTGATGGCTTTTCTGGAGGGAGCCTGTGCTGCAGCCCTGCTGATCATCTCCTTGGGGAGAGAATCTGCAACCTTGGAGAGTAGATTTCATGATGCTGAAGACAGGAAATGGCCCACGCATAAAACAGAATCCATTTGAAGGCCAAGTTCAAAGAAAGGAGAACTCTTCTGGAAGGTAAACTCAATGAAATCCATGACCTTCTATCAATAGCCATATGCCGGAAACCCGCCCTTCTCACCATGTGCTACGAAACTGGCTGGCTCGATACAACAACATGTGAAAGGACATTTCACAGGGCTCGACAGGAGGAATCAGTGACCTCAGCTCTTCCAAGGTAAGAACCAGTCACAAGTCCGTACAAATGGGCTTTTAAAATGCCAGCTATAAAAAACTGTGAAGGTCCCCCCTCACCTTTCTTTCCCTCATGGACTTGGAATTTAATTTAGGCTGGAGTACAGGACAAGCTTCATTCATATTGACCACACATTCCTGCATCCTGGCCTTGAACTTTAAGACTGGGTCCCTCTTGGAAAACTCCATTTAGTTCCTTGATCTGAATGCACTGGATGATACTAACGGATTACGAGGACTACTTCTCCCCTGAAAGTCGAACGTGTGACTGCTCTGCGATGGCTGTGGCAGGTGCCCGTGGACACTAAGCTACTCCCCAGCCTGGAAAGGAAGTTCAAGTCTGAACAAAGTTAAACTGATGAAAATAAAAACATTTTAAATTTGAGATGTCTTCAAGTTTCTAGTTAATTCTGGAGGGGGGGTGTGTAAAAAAATAACAATATTGAGAGCTTAATATGGCCAGAACTTTTCTCTTACTTAATCCTCACATCATCTCCATAAATAAACAGAAATACAGGCAAGTTAAATAATTTAGCAGGGTCACACACCACAGAACCAGAATTTAAACTCAGGCTAAACACAACCCATGACGTCTAACCGACCAGGGTCAGTGTCTTTAGAATAGCGAGTGAGGCACAACACACAGATTTCTTACAGTGGGTCTGAGTACAGTATGTGTGTAGGAAACCCTGTCTGTGTGATTCAGCCCTGTCTTCGGGAATAATAAATGTCCCAGGCCTGGTCAATGGGAGAACGATCTTTCTAGCCACAGTGATCAACACAGGAAAAGGCCAAACTGAGCTTGGCCAACGAGCCCCAACCAGGGCATTCAGAGGTGCTTTAAGAATCGCAGTGTTCCAGGGGCGCCTGTGGGGCCCAGTCGGTTAAACATCTGCCTTCAGCTCAGGTCATGATCCCGGGGTCCTGGGATCGAGTCCCATGTCGGGCTCCCCGCTCATCGGGGAGTCTGCTCCCCCCCCCTCTTCCTCTGCCACTCGCTCTGCTCGTGCTCTTTCTCTCAAATAAATAAATGAAATATTTTTTTTTTTTTGAAAAAAGAAACAATAGCAGTGTTCTGTCATCATGATTCTTGGATATGGCAGCCATATGAGTCAAAAAATTTCCCTTTTTTGTTAAGCCAGTTCAGGCTGGTTTCTACCATTTGCAACTAAGAGAGTCCTGACCAACACAGTCTTCCTCTCAAGTCTATATTATCTGACTACATCTGGGGACACCCCAGCTTTGCCCACTCACAGGTGTCTACAGGCTCCTGGCCTTGGGAGAGCATTCTGGATTTCCGGCCGGTGGACAGCACGGTGGAGGTGAGAAGGGGCCCAGGGGGTAGAAGATAGTATCAGTTGTTCTTTCTGCAGTGCGGCGTGTGGTAGATGGCCTGGGCTAGAGCCCCAGAGTTTACTGGCACCACGCACCAGCTCTGCGACCCGGGTGCCATCCCTGAGGTACCTCCAGGGGCCCGGCCGCCCTCATCTCCAGTGCAGGTTAACGATGCCACTTACTCACACGGTCACTTTGAGGAGGAGGTTTATGTATGTTAAGCACTTAGCACAGTGCCTGGCACAGAGGAGGCAGGACAGAGACGCTCACGAGCGCCCCATTACCAATAGCTATTACTAGTTTTGTAGAAGATCAATTAGTTTTGAGACAGCTAGCCCAAGTAATCAGCACCCACAATACTCTAGGTTGGAGAGAATGAAGACAACGAGAGGAGGTGAGAAAGGGGGAAGAGGTATCAGTGATCTATCAGACACAGACCCATAGGAGGAAGGATCACGTAGGCAGAGGCAGGGGGAGGACACTATTCAGATCATGCCACGCTGCCGCGTGACAGTAGAACTTGAAGAATTTCATTTTGGCTTTAAAACCAGACTAGGAAGGATCCATCCATATCCTGCCTCTGCCTTTTTTTTTTTTTTTTTTTTTTTTTTTTTTGCTGTGAGACTTTCCCAAATTCAGATTCTTCACTGTAGAATGAGTACAATACCAGGTTCTCCCTGAAAATGTTTTGTGGAGATAAATGAGACAGGGAACGTTTAGTCGTTTGCACAAGAGATGGCACAGCAAGGGATGGCAAACAGCGGACAACAGGAGTTGTGAAGTCCAGGCGCCAGCTCCCTTCAGATCCGTGCCCAAGACCTTCCATCTTTTTACCCCCGTTCACCTCAGAAGCAAGGAACTGAATACCTGCCGTGGTAGCAGAGGTCTTTTCAAACAGCCACACCACGCGGACAGTTTTATGTAGACCTGAGGCACCCCAGTCCCGGAGCTGAGCTGACTGGAAAGCGCCCCGGCTTGACGGCGGATGTGTGTCCATCCAAGCGTTTCTACCTTAGCACCTACCTCTGACTTCTGACCCCTCTTGTAGAGTTCAGGCAGTTGCATGAGGGTCTCTGCAGACACATCTTTCTCCAAAACACCATAAATGACAGGAGGCGCGGAAGTGAAAAGGAGGTTGAACAAGATCAAAACCCAGTAGTCGGTCATGGATGTTCCTGAAAATCCACAAAAGAACTGGTACCAGAAAAGGAGGTTCACATAGGCCTAGGGACACAAATAGGAACATGTGCATCTTAGAAACAGCAACGTGTGCCATGACCGCACGAGCCACAGGCTGCCGTGCTCAGCTACGTGATCTCGGCCTCTCTCTCGCTCACAAAATGCAAGACCACAACTTACCTTGCTGTCTTTTTTTGGGTAAACGTGTTATTCGTGCAAAACACACACAGACACACACACACACATACACACACACACACACACACGCCCCTTACTGTGTAATGCCGGCACTGCTGCAAGAGCTTTACAAATGATTTGTTCAACCTTCCTAACAACTTGGGAATTACCGTTGTCCCATTTTACAGATGAGGAAACTGAGGCACAGGGAGCCTGCCCAAAGTTATCTGGCTAATACGTACCAGAGCCGGTATTCTAACTGAGACCCGAAGAGATCCTAGCCCAGTGCCTGGCATGCAGCATGCACACGACACATACTCATTTCCCTGCTTTCTAGGTTCAAAATGATTTTTTAGTGGTGCCAGCTGGGTAGCCAACCATCCCAGAGAGTTTGGGACTGAGGGGTTTCCCAGGACGTGGACTCTCACTGCGAACACTGGGACAGTCCCCAGCAAACCAGGACAGGTGGTCACCCTACAGGCTAGAGGCATACATCCTACACGGTTACCCCCACTACTTTGTCTCGGACAAACTAAGTCCATGGCAGCGAAAGGCTCTGCGCCCTCAAGCAAGGCAGGCCGTGGACTTAGATTTAGGAGTTGTACTCAGGGCCTGAAGACGCTTCTAGGGCTATTTCCACCGAGGCCATCTTCCTAACCTCCCTCAATTTTGGTCTCGTCTGAAAAACGAGAATTATACCACCTTGGAGCTTAGTATCAGGATCAACTTAGAACGTGCTCACGACCTGTTAAGTGCCTTACACATATTAAGACATTACTACTGGCATCCTAGACGCACTAGGACACCTTAGGGTATGGGCCACAATCCTTAGAGCAGAGTTTCTTAAGTCTGGGGTCTACAGACACACACGTATCCTCCTGGAAACATATCAATTTGGGGGACGTGTGTTTTGGGGAGTCTTCATCAGTATCTCAAGTTTTCTAAGACCCAAGAACCATAGTCTCAGAAAGACAAGCTACTGGACTGGCATCTGGTCCCTGTCTTTTTCTCCATATTTTATAACACATGCACTATTTTCCTAGGTTGGTGAGAGGTAGAAAGAAGTCGGGAGAGGATCGCTGCGTATGGCCGAGGGCTTCACGGTGGACCGCAGGCCCCTTGTTCCCTGGTGATGGGGTCTCTAGGAGTCCACCCTGCCCCGCTCTCCAAGAGCATACGGCACCCCTCTTCCTAATATTAATGTTCCTTACCCTTTGGGTTTAATCTGGGCTTAAAAGGAAAAGGGGAGGGGGTGGGTGGTACCACAAGAGGTGCAGGTAGAAAAATGCAAGAGAGGCTCCTCCCCTCAAAGTCAGCGATCACCAAGTCCTATTGTTCTACAGGATTAAAAAAAAAAAAAATTCTGCTGACCAACAGAAACACACACACAGACAGAGATCTCAATTATACATTTGGACTATCTGAAAAATGACCTACTGGAAGTTATTTTTTTCCCCCTAAAGGTGGTGATTTACATAGAGTGATACACGCTGGTGTTTACTGTCAACATGCTACCTACAGGCTTTGCAGGCTATGAAAAAAAGGTGGCCTGAAAATAATACCATTGTGACGGATTCGCATAGTCACTCCGCCTACAAGGAACCTGACTAGAGCCATCTAAGGTTCACATGACCTCAGAAAAGAGGAGCCCGATTGAACACCAATAAAAAATAAATTTATTAAAAAAAAAAACAAAATTGAACACCAATAAAAAATAAATTTATAAAAAAAAAAAAAAAGAAAGAAAAAAGGAGCCCGGAATTTGGACGCATGCCGACCATCGGGCCTAGAACTTCTCACCAGAGCCTGCCCTTCAGGAATGACACAGTCCCAATGAGTTCCCTGACCACCAAGTGACCCCCAAGCACGCATTTTACAGGCTTGCTAGAGAATTCTTCACTTGGGATTAGCCAGCCACAGGCTCGGGCATTATCCTGGGTTTTCATGGGCATCTGGGTTTTTGATATACAGAACACGGGACACGAGTCTGAGGACAGCAGGGGGTTCTTGGTAGCTCCTGTAAAATGGAATTCTCTCCCGACAGGTAGCATTAAACAGGTCATCAGTCCACTTGTCACCACCTTTCCACGGAAGGTCAAAAATGGGGTCTTACGTGAACCAGACAGGGAATAGAAACGCCAGGAGAGGGCCGAGCCCAGCAACGTGCTGGCGGCAGTGGAAACGCAGCATGTTCCCAGGTTGGTTCTGGGCAGGCAGCAGGAGGGCTCGGGACTGCTCCCCAACACATCAGGGAGAGGCCAGGTGGCTTAACCCTGGGCAGGCAGCGGGGGGGGCTGCTCCCCAAAACATCAGGGAAGAAGCCAGGAGGGTTAACCCCAGGCAGGCAGCAGGAGTGCTCGGGGATGCTCCCCAAAACATCAGGGAGAGGCCAGGCAGCTTAACCCCGAGGCTGCTCCCCAAAACATCAGGGAGAAGCCAGGCGGCTTAACCCCGGGTGCCTCCTCTCTATCCCTCCCGCAGGCAGGATAAGAACAGCGAAAACAGGGAAGGGACAAGGGCCCAGAGCTACATACCACGTTCTTGTAGAAAAAATAGAGAATCATGTTGGCGAGTCGTGCGTAACACCAGTGCCCGTGCACGAGGAGGAGCTTGCCGAGATGCTTAAACTGAGAAATGGCAAAGTCGCTGGCCATCACCGCCTGCAGAGGCAAAGGGGACAAGACGCCACCCTGAGCCACCAGACCAGCTACGTGACAGACACAGCACGGCAGCCTGGCCCCCAGTGCGCGTGGGCAACAAAGCGAAATAAAACAAACCCGACGGACAGACGGACGGACAAAACGCACGAAGGCAGAGCCGAACTCGGCTTCCTGAGATGGTCACACGGAACAGGACTGGTCCTCGGTCGCCGCCCGCGATGGGAGTGCAGCCGATGCACGTTCCCGGCAAGCAACCCCTGAGCAAGAGCGCGGGCAGGGCATGCTCCCCGGCGTCCACTTCCCCCCACGAGGAGGACGTCGAGTCCACAGCAGGACTTTGTGCCCGAGTGTGCAGCAGGCCGGGCCGACGGAGGGCCGGGCCGCACGACACTCAGGGGTGCCGTGAGCCTCACACCCTATCCTTCTCCGACACCCTTTGCCCCACGCGTGAGCAGCAGTCTGTGCACGGGCTGCTGTCTGAATTCTGTGCCCCAAACACTATCCGGCACGTGCGCACCCAAAGACAGGCCACTCCCGCTCCTCATCCTCCCAGGTCACACCCCCTCCTGCTTCAGGCCTGCGGGGATTTTATTCAAAGCCTGCGCAGCTCTCCTCGGGGTCACAGGTCACACAGTCGTTGAGGCCTAAATATATAGATATTCTGACGATCTAGATGAGCAACATGCTTTAAACTGAACAAACACGCGGTTACAATTGCCCGGGAAATGGGGATGCCGCCCTCGGAGGGGCAGGTGACGTGCACGGTCCCGGGTGCATGATCCACACTCACCTGCATGCCTTCCTGACCCGAGATCCCAATCCCCACGTCCGCCACTTGTATCATGCTAACGTCATTGGCGCCGTCACCTGCACAAGCCGGAGGAGAAACCAAGAACCGTGTGAGCGGTAGAGACGCCACCTTCCCAAAGCCACAGTGACCACTCGAAGCAACCCGATCCTTCAAGGTTCACCCCAAGTCGGAAAGGTACTTGGGAGCTGGTTGCACAGAAATGAGCTGTGGCATCCCGCTGCTCTCCGGAAGAATTACAAACTCGGTTTTGCCCTAAAATCCTCCACGCGAAGCCGCCCATCTGCACTGATGTTCCCTCTCTCCACGCCACTCGCTCTCCAGTCCATTCTCCAGGTACCACTGCTGCTTCCAGCCACCGCACCTGTGGTTTCTGAGCCCCTGTAACGCTGTCCCGTCACCCCCGCCTCACGGGCTGGATTTCAATCGCATGATATCCTGGCTGCTATCTATTGCTTGGTGTCCCCAACACACTGGAAGCTTCTAGAGGGGAAGCATTACATTCCTGTTGGTAATAAACACCCGTTGTTCCCACCTGCTCACCAACCTTCCACCTGTTCTCTGGTTAAGAGTATCCTGATTTTCCTGGGGGACTCTCAGTCCGTGTGGATTGTTAGGATGAACCCAAACCCCGAGATTTAGGGTGGTAACTGATCGAGGCCTGGGCCCTTAGCACCATCTGTTCCCTGGCCTCGGCGACCGGTTCAGAGATGGGCACATGATTCAAGCGAGGGAGCGGACGTGTCCAGGGGTTCTAGCCTCAGGAACATGTAGATCCAGGGGCTTGAGAATTCATTCACTTGCGTGTCCATCCAATAAGACGGCTGAATAAAGTTCCACTCTAATCCTGATTCCTTACTCCAGCACCTGGGAAGGAGCTGCGACCGTTCCACTCAGGTTGCTAACAGGACGGGATGTAACCCCGGGAATTTTCGGTGGCTCTACCAGCACGCTGAGGGGAGCAGCTTGCTGAGCCTAGAAACAGTCCAGCTAAAAACGGACTGTAAGAGATGGCTGGGTCCTCATCCTGCCATTCTCTAAACCCTGGAGTATCTCAGAGCTTGATCTCATACTGCGTCTCTCCTCCACATATCCTCATTTCTCAGTGATCTCATCTAACATCATTAAGACCTTAAGTATCATCTAGATTCATGATTCCCACACTGACAGCTCCAGCCAGTCCCTCACTGCAAAGTTCCAGACTTTACACCCAGCTGCCCACCTGACCCATCCCTGCTTAGATCTCCAGTGGACTTTTTCACACTTAACCTCCATGAGATCCAGCTCCGGATGCCCCCGGCTCCACCTCCTTTCTCTTCTCAATTCCCTTAACTCCTTCTATCATATAACGTATCAAGTTCATCAGCAAATGTCACCAGCTCTTTCTTCACACCACGTCTATTATCTGACCAGGTTTCACCATCTCCTCTGCTCCCATCTGGGCTCAAGCCACCACCAGCCCTTGCCTCAATTATTCCAGGAGACTCTCAACTGGTCTCCTCACCTATGTCCTTGCACCCAGCAGTTACTCTTCAACGCAGCAGCCGTGTGATCCTTAGAAACTTAAAGCAGATCATGTTCCTTCTCTGTTCAAACTTCTCCAAAGACTCCTTTTCTCTTCAGAGAAAAGCCTAAAACTGGGGACCCCGGTGGCTCAATAGGTTGAGCATGTGACTCTTGATTGCCGCTCAGGTCATGATCTCAGGGTCGTGAGACTGAGCCCCATGTCAGGCTCCATGCTGGGCATGGATCCTGCTTAGGATTCTCTCTCCGCCTCCCTCTCCCTCTGCCCCTCTCCCCTAAAAAAAAAAAAGGCAAAAATTTATAATGGCCTCCAGGACCCTACAGGATCTGGCTACCTGCCACCTTTCTGCCCATCACTAACCTACAGAAAACTCTTCCCTTTGCTCAACCTGTTTTGGCTCTGAACACACCAGAGCTGACCCATGGCCTGCACTTCCACTGTCCTCACCAGGAGTGTTCTCCCCTCAGACCTCCCATGGCTCCCTTATTCTCTCTCTCTCTTTTTTTTTTAAAGATTTTATTTATTTATTCATGACAGACATAGAGAGAGAGGCAGAGACACAGGCAGAGGGAGAAGCAGGTTCCATGCAGGAAGCTCGATGCGGGACTCGATGCTGGGGCTCCAGGATCATGGCCTGGGCCAAAGGCAGGCGCTAAACCCCCAAGCCACCCAGGGATCCCATCTTCTCAAGTCTCTGCCCACGTGCAACCTCCTCAGTGACACAGTCTCTGAACAACTTTTAAATTAGCAGCCTCCCACCTGCCCCCTTCCCCAGTGCTCTACATCCCTTGGCTCTGCTTTACTTTTTTTTTTTTAAATAGCATGATATATACTTTATATATATATATATATATATATATATATATATGCCTTTTTTGATTTATTTCATTTTTTACCTTATGCCTCCTACTGCATGTAAGTTCCTTAAGAAAAAGCACTTAGTCAAGCTTATACACTGTTTTATCTCCACTGCCTAACAAAATGTCTGGTAAACAGAAGGCACTCAATAAATATTTGTTGAATGAAGACATAAATGATTTGTTAGTGTCCTGGAATTTGACTTTTCTGAAGGTGGAAGTCCTCGATTTTTTAGTTCTATGATTCGGTACATGTATCCTCCTGAACTTGCTTGATTTGGGATCTGACATGTAAGCCGACGTCCTCCTATACTGTTTTCCACTTCACTTCCGTAACATAGTAGGTGGTCAAATAGGTGAGGAAGATAAAGGGGGGTTAGGAGTAGGGGACAGAGAGGAAGGAGAAAAGGGGGGAGGGATGTGGGGGTGGAAGAGGAAGACAGAAGGGGAAACAGAAGTACAAAGGAAGAATCACCCCCCGTGCGGCTTCCACAGAAGCCATCAGCACACGCCTGGGTGCCACCCCCACTCACCGATGGCCAGTGTCATCACCCGGAGGTGGCTGCGTACCAATTTCACCACTTCGCTTTTCTGCAGGGGGGTGGCTCGGCAGCAGATCACAGCTTGACAGCAGGCAGTCAGCTCCAGGAATGGCCCCTGCAGACTCTCCTGCAGGGCAAACTCCAGGGTCTTCCCGGTGATGATGAGCCCAGCCCGCAGCCCGGAGCCCTGTGTGGCTGGAGGCTGGGGTAAACCCTCGCTTATGGATGTTCGCACGTTAGAGGCTGGATTCTTCTCCCGAAGTTCTTTCAAAATTGTGCTCATCAGCATCTCACAGGCATCCTTGAAACAAGAGGCAAAGACAGTTAGCCTTAGACTCCCCTTGGTGGCCACATCCACCTAAATTTACAATTGTCATTCTTTAGCGATGGCCCTCCCTAGGCAACCCCAGGTAGTGAATAAGCGGTTACCTGGGAAGATCTGCTCTTTTGCAGAGATTTGTGTGTGTGTGTGGAGACCGGCTAATAGGATAGAAGACATCTTACCCCTGGTTCTACAACTAAAAATAGCTTAGAATTTCTTTATTTGGACAATTCACCTTCTCAAACAGGGACTTTCAAGGGTCCTTTGGTCTTTTTCTACCATTTACTATCTGCTTGACTTTAGGCAAATTATGTAACGTCTCTGAGTGAGCCTCAACTTTCTCACGTGAAACATGCAAATGTCTACATGTCATTGTGAAGAACGAGTGAGGTTAACATGTGCAAAGCTCCTCGTGTTAGGCATGGCACAGGATTTAAAGCAATAGTTACTATTTTTAACTTCTTTTGGATTCAACATTCATTCATTCACTATGTATTGGGAAACCACTTGATGCTAGAAAACATCCCAGACATGCACAGAGAGAAAAATTTGAGTCATGTGACATGACTCCACCTGAAGCCAAATGAGGTGACGCTCTGTCTTCTAATGCCAGCTCCCATACTATCAATAAGCGTCCTTTTCACTGTTTGGTGACACATGTTCTGTATGTTTCTGCTTTTTGTTGATTTCACTGCTTAAAATGGCCTCCAAGCACAGTGCTGACGTGCTAATGGTCCCATGTACAAGACAGTTGTGATGTGCCTTACAGAGAAAATACGTGTGTTAGATGAGCTTCCTGCAGGCATGCGTTAGAGTGCTGCTGGCCACGGACTCACTGTCAATGAATCAACTATACAAATAGAAGAAGTTGTTTTCAAACAGTAAGACACATGGAACAAGGTTGAATATTGACTGGTTGACAAAAATGTTGTGACCAAAGGCTTGTGGGAGCCTAGCCCTCTATTTCCCCCGGGGGTAATGGCTCAGTATTCACTAACTCAGTGTTTGCGGCAACTTTACAGAACTTCACTCCATGACTAACGAGAGTAACTATAGAAAAATACACATTACGTACTACATCATACAATACAAAACCCACACTTGACAAGTAATCAGCTGGGGCTCCCTAGACGAATCACAACCCTTAGGAATTTTAGGCTATAAACATGAGGATAATTTCATCTGATCTATTTGTTATAACTGTCTAGTAAGATCTCATATGAGAAAGTCTTTTATAGATTACAGATTCTAATGAATGTGAAAATAAAGAGCCATTATCTCAGGAGAAAATTTTAAATGAAATCATAAAAATGAAACCTAAAAAGTTACATGATGGATCCTGAAAGAGCTTTATGAATCACAAAGCAGTAAATAATCCAAGATATGATTGTATTAACCCTCTGCCCCCCCCAAAAAAAAACTCCAAGACTTTTATGAGAATGGACACCATGTAAAATTTATAAATGGACACACTTACTATAATCCAACTTGCAAATTTAGGGACAAGGAGTTGATGGAAATTCATAAAGTGAGGTACTACACTTACTACACTACAGAAATGACCAGATATCTTACTGGTTTCAAGGTGGCCCAAGGAGAATGTCACAGAAGCCGTTTCTTCACTAACTGACAAACCAGCTTCCATGATCTTTCTTTTTTTTTTTTTTTAACTCTCAGCATTTCCTGATGGAGTGGAGTGATAGGGAGGGATGGAGGGAGGGAAAAGGAAGGAAGGAAGGAAGGAAGGAAGGAAGGAAGGAAGGAAGGAAGGAAGGAAGGAAGGAAGGAAGGAAGGGGAAGGGGAAGGGGAAGGGGAAGGGGAAGGGGAAGGGGAAGGGGAAGGGAAGGGAAGGGAAGGGAAGGGAAGGGAAGAGAAGAGAAGAGAAGAGAAGAGAAGAGAAGAGAAGAGAAGAGAAGAGAAGAGAAGAGAGAAAAAGAAAATAATATAGTGACTGAGCTCCTGCTATGTGCCTGGTATTTTATATGATTAGACTTGAGTCACCATAAAACTAAATTACATTCACTGTGTTCCGTTTAGTTATCTGGAAAATTCACATAGGTGGAATAGCTTTGATAGTTAAAAAAAAAAAAAGAAATTATTTTTTTGCACTTAGAACAGTCTATGCTGGATACTCCGTAAAGACTTCTTGAATTGGTAGTTTTATATGCCTTTAACTGTAAATTGTATATTTACAAATAAGTTCTACAATCCTAATGATCTTACTGCTCACCAAAATGCCAAAATCAAAGGTCAAGAACTGATTTTTCTCTTTTAACATTCATTGAGCCCCTTCTATCTGCCAGTCACTACATGTTTCATTTGTAGTCTGTATCTTCTCATTTCATGCCCACAACAACCTTATGAAATAGGTATAACACTTGCATCACAGGTTCGGAAAAAGGCCCAAAAGAAAACTCTCCAGGGTCACGTACCTGATACACAGGCAGGTCAAGCACATGAGCCGGGGCCTTCCCAACCTTAGGGCACATTCATTTTCATTACCAAAATGACTAATGACAATTTTCTTGTGCTCAGCTCCTGCTGGTACTGGGAGCTGCCTAGTGGTTGTGGTTATGGGTCTCCGGGCCACAGCCAACTGCCAAGGAGAACCCATTCTGTGTTGAATAAGGAAAACTCTCTTTCCTTAAAATGCACAGTCCAGTTGGGTATTGCCAAGATACTTGACCATAAAAACAGGGCTAACCATACATGGCAGCCTGTGACAGAGCCCCAAGATGTGCTCCAGGTGAGAAGCTCCAGAGGATTTCTGAGAGCCAGGTTCGATGTCATGGACTAAGTCTGACTATTGAGGAAGGAGGGAGGAAGTAGTTTTCCAAGCTAATTAAACAACATGCATAAATCTCAGAGAAAATTCCCATACTGGAAGATTTAAAAAAAAAAAGCCTGTTTAATTGATTAGTATGTTTCTGTTAGAGATTAATGGAAGTGAGGCAGGGATAATTATAAAAAAAAAAAAAGCTAGATCCAAACCTCTTAAATTCCTTCTTAAGGAAAAAATAATATTCCTTTCCCTTAAAACCGTTCTTCAAACTTGATGTTCCCAACAGCACTACCTATGAATTACCACTAGAGGGCATAATTATCCTGAGTCTATTTTTGTCATTAACCATAAAAATATTAGTGCATGCACCTGATGCTGATAGACTATTACTTCCCCCCCAACTTGAAATAGAGGTTTATTCCTGTCCCAGAACTTGGTCAATTCTGTCACTATGGGCTAAATCTGGTCAAATCGTTGGAGCTCCAATGTGGAGGGGGTGGGGAAAAGCAAGTAAAAAATAAAAAGGCAACTTTCTTTAGCAAGGATTCCTTTGAATCACGTTTAACCACAAAGCCTTTAGAAGAACTACAGTACCTTCCCAAGCACAGATGAGGCTGCTGGAGAGAAGACATAATCATCAAGGAGCTAATGGTTATTGTTTTTTTTTTCCCCTCCTTGACATTTATCGAATCACAAATGCTCCCCTGGCTCTGAAGAAGCAAAAAGGCTCATTATACGTACTTTACTTTGGGTATTGAGGATAAAGAGCTTGTCATCTGGCTCCAGCAGTTTGCACGCGTAAGCTATGTTGACAGCCGTCTCCTGCTTGTCTCCCGTCAGCATCCAGATCTTGATGCCGGCTCTTTGAAGGGCTTCTATGGACTCAGGGACTCCCTCCTGCAGACGGTCTTCAATGCCAGTAGCACCTGAAAAATAGCCAGAGTGCAGCGGGGCTTGTGAGAAACCAAGCCAGCAGGAGGTCACCCAGGCTATGGTTGAACTCTGTTAGTCAACCCAATCCTGCGCTACAAACGGCTTCCAGTAGCTTCCAGGGATGCAGAGGAAGTGTGAAGACCTAAACCAAAATCATAAACAGAGTAGTATTTTGGGAAGGAATCCTGAGGAATCAATGAGCTTATTAAACTTACTTGCTTTCCTTTTTGGCTAGCTTTCTTCTCTGTAAACTGAGGGGAGCTTGTTTCAATTACCCACGTAACTTTGCTCTAGAATTTTACGATTCTGTGATATTCCCAAGGGTAAGGGCAGGCTTTTAAAGCATGCCCTTGCCAATAAGTCGCTTCTATGATGAAAGAGCATGGAAAATAGAGATTACAAGTCCACGATTCCCTTTCTCAAACCAACTGGGGCCAGGTAAGTTTCAGAATTCGAAAGTTTTTCAGATTTTATTTATTTTTTATTTATTTTATTTATTTATTCATGGGACACACAGAGAGAGAGAGAGAGAGAGAGAGAGAGAGAGAGAGAGGCGCAGAGACACAGGCAGAAGGAGAAGCAGGCTCCATGCAGGGAGCCCAAGGTGGGACTCGATCCCGGGACTCCGGGATTATGCCCTGGGCCGAAGGCAGGTGCTAAACCGCTAGTCACCCAGGGATACCCTAAAGTTTTTCAGATTTTTTTTTTAATTTTTTTTTATAAATTTTTTTTTTAATTTATTTATGATAGTCACACAGAGAGAGAGAGAGAGAGAGAGGCAGAGACACAGGCAGAGGGAGAAGCAGGCTCCATGCACCGGGAGCCCGACGTGGGATTTGATCCCGGGTCTCCAGGATCGCGCCCTGGGCCAAAGGCAGGCGCCAAACCGCTGCGCCACCCAGGGATCCCAGTTTTTCAGATTTTAGAAAGGTAACAAAGTGCGTCTAGGTTTTGAAATATCTGCCAATGAAGCATATTAATCTTTCTGTCGCAAAACTTACAAATGTTCATACTAATTAGGATGATAAAGACTTATAATAATCTTATCAAACCAGGCCTGGGGGAAAGAACAACAACAACCCAGGCCTGAATTTGCAGCCAGACGAGTTGGCACTAAACCCACACAGCATTTTTGAGTTTGGCATTTCAGATGAGGAAATGTGGACCCATACATATACTACAGACACTGTCAGAGAAATGACACAGGACAGGCATCATTACTGTACGGGCTCCATAGTAAGTGAGATCATCGTTTTTTTCTCTGAACCAGAGGAATGGAGCTCAGAGACTGGTCTCTTGGTATGTTAGCGCTTCGATCAGAGTCTAGATCTCCAGACTCTGAGACTGTGGTGCTCAATCCTGGCTGCCTCTTAGAATTCCTTAGGGAGTTTTAAATAGTCAAATGCCCCGGCCACATGTCAGACCAACTGAATTAGAATCCCTGAGAATTGGATGCAGGCACCAGTATTTTTTTAAAGTGCTCCAGATGATTTCAGGATGCAGCTCAGTCTGGGACAAGAGGCGTCAGCTGTGCAAACCTTTGGCTGCAATCAGGAAGGAAGAGACGAGACACATATTTCACTGGTCCAGTTGTAGGTACAGAATAAAAGATGCGGGCCCCGGAACCAGGTAGGTCTGAGTTTCCTTCTCGCTCTGCCAGCTATAAGCATGTGACTTTGAACAAGTCAATGAACTACTCTGTGCTCCAGGTCTGCTCTAAATAAGATAGAGATTTGTTGCACAGGTTCGAAAAGACAACACATATTAAGTACCTTATCCAACGCCTGGCAAGAAATTTTAGCTGGATGTCCTCTTGAATCAGGATATTTACCTGACTTGCAAGGTCAAATATGTTAAGTCATATTTGAGTTAACATACCATTAAGTCTATGTTAAGTCATAAGGTTTTATATGATCTCCTTTATATGACCACCCTGATCCCACCATAAATGAAGTCTAGTTTGCTGCAGTGGAAAAAAACAGAATGAAAAGAACTAGAAACTGGGTCGAGATCAGACTGGACAGGGCAGAGAGAATTGTGTGCTCTATTAGCTTAAAGTGGGGGGGGGGGAACCCTGCTGGTGAGTAACTTACTTAGAGAGATCCAGTGTTTCCTCTAAATTTCTTTACGCAGACAATACAACATGGTCTACCTACCAAGTAAAGTCAGCTTGTTCTCCAACCTCATGGCAGATTCAAGTAGTAGTTCTTCCCTGTGGTCAATGCTGGTTTCAGCTAAAAAATGGTTCCTCAGCCACTCTTCATATTCAGTATCACTCATGACCTACCGGGGGGAGAAAAGAGCTATGAGAAAGGCCATATCATCTTTCAGGATCCAGCCAGGGAGGATCACTAGCAAAATACCAAGCCAGGTAACCTCAGGTCCATTCCTCATGCCACCTGGTCACAAGCTTCCCAAATTCTGTGATCACACTACTGTAACACTGATGAATGGATGGACCTGATAGCTCAGTATCTCTTGGAAATTCTAGGCATCCTGTAGGATGAAAGTGGGTTAATCTATTTAATTAAACCGGGGAGTATGTGGTTGGAAGAGCTCTCTGCTTGGTAGTTAAATCTAGAAAGATCCCAATGGTGCGATTGAGAAAATGGCATCAGAATTGCTCCGCTGGAGGTATTACGTAGCCAGCAGCACCGCGGATATCTTTTCATGATTAGTTTATGGTTCTCTGTTCTCTGAGTTATCTGCAAAGGTGAAAAGAGAGAGGGAGCCATACAAGTGGAGCCAGGAAGTACTCTTCCAAAAGAAATTAAATGGAATTCCTGGAGAAGGAACTGAGGATGTATTTTCCTTTTTCTTTAAGTTGCCACAGACAGAGAAATCTACATTTCAATTCTTATAAAGCAACATGAAGTAGAGGCAGTGAGGCAATTTACCCACTTATTCTGACCCACAAGGCTATCGGACTTGGGAAAAATCTGACATCTATTGGGCGGCATTTTTTATCAGGGGCAAGATCACTCCACTTGAAAAGACAAAACTCACTCCTTTTCCTTTGATCATGAAACTCTCCATTCTTTGCTCTCCTCCATGTGAGGCAGAGTTCTGATTCTCTATACAGCTGGTTGACCTAAGTGTTGACTAAGAGCCTGCAACGGATCCCAGTTTCCCTAACGCGACCGGCAAGAGCTAGAATTTGGGAAGGAAATGAAAGATCCCTACATTTGCATCAGGTCCTGGCTACAGTCTCCAATTCAGGCTTCTAGGAGGCTTGCACATTTTGGGAATTATAATGGATGGCAAATAAGGCGTTGATACTTGGATCTACATGTACCTCCCTGTCTCTCATACTCATCAGAGCCCAGGATGACAGAGGGAAATCGATACTCTGGCTTCCAACACAGCAAAAATTAACTTTGGGGTTTGGAGGGAGAGTAAGTGGGATAGGGAAGTAGGTGGCAAGATGGGTTTTCCTCAGTTCTTTTCTAGTACTTCCCCTACGTGGGCTGGTTGTTCCATGTTCTTCAGTGTTCGTCAAAGTCTCTGTTGTACCTTTACAACTGACTCCCTTCTCTCCCCCATAAGACATCCTTCTCTTGCCTCAACTCCTTCTAGGCTCTCTATACTCTATACTATACTCTATGCAGACTCCCATCCTTTCTGCTGCCCCCCACCCATCTACTCGGAAACAAAATAGGCAGTTGAAGAAGGAAAAAACACCGTCCAGGTATTCAGGTGCCTATCTGGCTGAGCCACGATTATAGGGCTAGGGCTGGGAAAGTCTTGGCTTATCAATGACGGAAGCCTTGCAAAGCCTCACTACAGCTGAGAAGCCTGACCTGATCAATACCTAAGCCCCATCCTACTGGCATAAAACAAATTGCCCAATTCACTCTGAAAGGGCTTCACGTCTGTTTCTCCCATGTCCCCAGGGAAGGTTCTGGCAATATCACCCCTCAATTTCTTGGAGCTCTATCTTCTTTCTTACTATTTAATTTTTTTTTTTTTTAGAAAGAATACACTACTTATCTCAGGATTATTCTCAATAACAGAATAATCAGTACTGACATAACATTTGGTAAAATTTCTTGGATTTACAGATAGACTTATAAACATGTAAGAAAAAGGTATTGAGAACTTACAGGGGAAAATTAAGGTCACTCTCTGGTTTCTTTCTTTCCAAAGAACATTTAATGCTATAAGGCAAAGGAATGGTATTTACAAAGTACTCAGGGAAAAGAAAGTAGGTCCAAGGATTTTTTTAGTTCCAGCCAAATCACAATTAACTTACAAATGCACTCACAGAGACAACTGAAACATGTGAGAACTCAGAGAACAGAACTTTTAGATATGCTTCTGGCAAAGTACTGAGAACATGAACTCCAACCAATCAAAATACGTATGGATGAGAGGAGCTGTGAGCGGAGAGCCCACAATCCAAGGGCTTCCACAACGGTGTGGACGAGGGTTCGATCCGTGCTCGAACTCATTAAGTGAGGGCTTACACGGGCAGGAGAATAAAGAGGATGGGCCTAGCTCAGAGCCTCACCTTCTTTGCTATACATAAAGTGCGTAGGCCCCGCCTGGCATAGTCATCCAAGTGTTTCTGGGTTTTCTCCCTTATTATCATCTGTTGTTTCTCCCGACTTGCTCCATCTGAAATAATTAACAAGGCAAGTATTCCCACCGGTCTTCCCAGTTACAACATGTTTTTACTAACAGTGATAGAGCTTACCCCACAACAAACAAAAGACCTTGTGGTTTTGAATCTCAGACGTATATTTATACATTTCCTTCTCCTGGGGGAGAAGGAAAGTACCAAAAACTTAATATAAACGCCATTCCCACACCATCAGTAATGACAGTAACAATAACAATAATAACGCTAGCTGCCATTCACCGACCACTTGCCATTTGGGAGGCACTGGGTCAAGACTCTACACATACTGTGTACAGTATGCCACTAAACCTCTAGGGGATCTATAAAAAAGGTACGATGATCCCCATTTGTTGAACACTTATGCACGGGATAGGTAGGTACCTTTACCAAGACACAGCCAATGACAGGGGCCAGATCCATGCCAAAACCTACACGCTTTCTCACCAAACCCTAGGCAGCTCCCCCTACTCCCGGGCCAGACCACTTGATGGTCTTTCTCAAACCATCCAGAGTGGCCTCTGAATCTCAGAGCCCTGCCTCTACCGCCCCGGCCCCAGCACGAACTCACCTGGGGAAGCCACGGAGAGCAGCTCCATGATGACCGAGTCAGCACCCTTGGTGTACACCACAACTTGGTTGGAAAGGGGGTGCCGAACTACAACAGACATTCTTTTCCTTACTGAGTCGAAAGGCAGGATGTGTAGGAGTTGAAATGTTAATGGTCCCAGAGCAGCAAAGTCCACCACAAGCTGCTCTGGCGACCGGGACTGCAAGGTGCACCGGTAGGCCTTGGCGGCGTAGACCAGGGCGGCTTCATCGGGGCTCTCTGCCTCGTAGCACAGGGGGACGGCAGAGGGCTGTCCAGGGCGGGGCCCCACCTGGCCCCCCGTCAGGCCGGGATCACCATTCGGTCTCGCAACTTCTGTGGGGCAAGGAGAGGTCCCCGAGGAGCCCTGGGGGCTCTCGCTCGTGGGGGAGGCCTCTTCCTCCACTGGGGAAGCCAGTTTCATTCGACTGAAGAGGGAGAGTCTGCTCACGAAGGCATTTGAGACCCCAGAAGTGGGCTCTTTCCCACTGGCAAGCGATGGCGAACTTGACCTTCGGACAGACAGCCTCTGGAAGAGGTTTTTAATCTCTTCCAACGACTTGATAGGCATCCCACTCAGTGAGGAGAGTCCAATCTAGGAAAGATAATTTGGGAGGGTCTCAATAAACCAGTCACAAGCAGTCTATAGCAACGTTGAAGTCAAACCAGGAAAAAAATTAGGTAAGAAGAGTTATTACTCCTCCTTAAATAGTTACAGCCTGCTTTGCACTTAAAACAGCCTCCAGAAAACATTAACAAAAATTAAAATGGCCATAATGAAAAATACATGCTAACGTTGATGGTGCTATGAATTTCTACAACTCTTCAGAAAGAGATCTGACAAATGATAGCAGAAGACTTAAAATGCTAATATTGCCAGCAATGGGCATACTATAGCAATGTTTCCTAACGGATGATGTAAAATATAGGCAACCCGTAATCTTTATTATGTACACCCTAGCAATAGCAATTTAAAAATTATAAGCAAATTAAGTATTCGAAAATAGCAAAACGGAAATATGCTTCTTGAAATGTTACACAATATTTTTTAAATATTTTATAAAGCCTAGGGGGTGAAATTGGAAAAGCTATAAAAATATAAAAATTGTGTGAACAAATAAAAATTTTAAAAACTGTGTGAACAATATAAGAAACAAACGAGTAATAATACATAATTAAAACACTGGAAGAAAGTCAAAAAATTAGCAAAATGGAGTTTTTTTCCTCTTTTACTTCCCAGGTTCTCTAAAAGGTTGTTACTATGACTTTTTCTGTTGTTTTAAAAAGGCCAGTAAAAGTCACTCACAAAAGAGTTACCAGCAGAAATTATCAGCTTATCAGCAGAAATTCACCATGAACGTGAGTTTCAATTACAGAATTTTTTGTAATTTGTAGCCTGATTTTTTTTCTAGCTCTTAACTTTTAACAGTGATTAAATTAGAATTTAGGATTAATTATCAATGCCAACTAATTAGATCCTAAAACTTTCTCATTCGGAAATGGCCAAGATATAAGTTTTTTCCTAAAAAATTACTAATCTTCTGATAATTGGAAACACACGTTGGTCAATTTTCACACTTATCAGCAACTTAGAAACGAAGAGAGGGTCTCAATAAACCAGTCACAAGCAGTCTATAACAACGTTGAAGTCAAACCAGAAAAAAAACCAGGTAAGAGAAGAGTTATTACTACTCCTTAAATAGCTAGCAGCCTGGTTTGCACTTAAAACGGCCTCCAGAAAACATTAACAAAAATTAAAATGGCCATAATGAAAAATACGTGCTAACATTGATGGCGCTATGAGGTTTCCTACTCCTTGTGGATTCTGATTAGGTCCTTACCCACTGTCCCTTTATCACCACCTCAAATGTCATGCAGATTAAGCTATGATACCTTTACAGACTTCCTTTCAAACCACAGCATATTATATTCTTTGGGGATAAAGCAACAATATTTTTCAAACAACAACAACAACAAAAAAATGAAGAGGTCCCGACTTTAGAAACAGATGTATGAGAAAAATTGTTACATGAGGAGAAAAAAAGAACTTTCAGTGATTTATTCTCTAATTACATAACCACTTTCCAAAAAAGAGCAACTCCCTAGCTGAAAGCCTTATAAAAACTGTTTTTTGATCAAATAAAAGCTTAACTGGAAACAAGTTATTTTTACATTAAAGTTGACCACCTCTGAAGTTGCCAAAAGAAAATGATCTGATGGAAAATTAAAATTTAATTGGGTTGTGCTGCAAATTGAGCTTTAAGTGGATATTTGCAGAAGAGAACGTCATACACGAGGAAGATACCACAGCATGTGGTGAATCACCGGTCTTTAAAACAAGTTTTTCTTTTTAATTGGAAATGAATTTTTCCACAAATTCTAAACTACAAATAGACTTCTTAAATCTAGCTTTCGTGGGAACTGTGGAGTCTTGGTCCATTATAAATGTATTGGATTTTAAATTGAGTTAGAACTAACCCAACTGGTACATGGAAATGGTACATTATCATTAAACATGATAATGAATCCAATACTTTCTATTTTGCTTGGTACAGTGCAGATGATGTGGGAGGTCTCAGAGGCCTCAAGGAAGCTTCAGTTAATAAGGAAACTATGCAAAATGAACGGAGCCACATTCTCATCAGCTATCCTCCTAGAGGCAAAACAGTAGAAGGGCACTGAGCCACCCGTGATGGGTTCAAGTCTCACTTGCCTCACAAATTGGCCCTGTGACCCCAGGAAAATTACTGAACCTTAATTATAAAATGGGGAATAGTGGAGTAGTATTACCTAATTTATGGGGGTTGCTGGGAGGATTACACATGTTAATATCAGTAAGTCACTTAGAATATCATCCGTGCAGAGCACAGATTAAGTGACACAGGTTAGCTGCTACTGTTATTATCATTAATAGCAGTATTAACTATTATCTACATAACAAGGCCAGTGTAAGTTCATTCGACCTCAAAGTTCTCTTCTGGAGAATAGCCCTTGTTTGCATTAGAGACCTTACCTTTTGTCGTGGTTGGTTAGGAGCAGAAACCACTACTGTGTTGCAAATTGCCAATGCAATAAAGAAGTCCACAATGTACAAAATCTCCAGTGGTGGACTTGGGACAGGCTTCTCCAGGGGGGTAAAAAGCTGAGGTGTAATCTGACTAAACTTGTCCAAAAGCCTGGTGTCTGGTACCACATCTGTTTCCTGAAAACCCAAGAAGACGGAAGTGCTATTACAGTTCAGTATCTAAAAACAAGAGCTTTAAATTTACATGATACATGAGAATCTATGAACTGTGAGATAGTTAACTTTCTTCTTCTTCTTTAAGATTTTATTTATTGGACAAGTGAGTGAATGTGCACGTGCACAAGCAGGGGGGTTGGCAGAGGGAGAGGGAGAAGTAGACTTCCGGTTGAGCAGGGAGCCTGATGTGGGGCTGGATCCCAGGACCCCAGGATCATGACCCGAGCCAAAGGCAGACGCTTAACCAACTGAGCCACCCAGGTGCCCTCCAAACTTTAATCTTCTAAAAAAGATTCAATATATATGGTGCCATGGGAAATGAGAATAGGAAAATAAGAGACCAAAAAAAAAAAAAGGAAAATTCAAGGCAGCCCGGGTGGCTCAGCGGTTTAGCGCTGCCTTCAGCCCAGGGTGTGGTCCTGGGGGCCCGGGATCGAGTCCCACGTCGGGCTCCCTGCATGGGGCCTGCTTCTCCCTCTGCTTGTGTCTCTGCCTCTCTCTCTCTCTCATGAATAAATAAATTAAATCTTTAAAAAAAAAAAGGAAAATTCAGAATGCCTAATATGGATGGAGAGTACCTTGACTATTAACGTAAACTGAGCAAGAGACAGGAACAACGCCTCCCACCAAAATCTAGTTGACTGTTTTCTTATTTTGAAACACACAGTTGCCAGAGCATCTGACAGCAACTGATGATTCCTCCAACAACCGAGGAGTAGCAACTCTTCTGTAAAGTCAGGACATTATTCATACCAGTTATTTTAACAAAATATCTTATGATTCGAATCACTGCTATTAATAAAAACAAAGGAGAAACAAACAAAACCCACCTCTCTCAAATAAACATTAGTATGAGCAGGTGAACATATTTAAAGAGCATTACCTAGTGATATACTAAAGACATTAGTGAGGGTTCCTCCAAGAAATTTCTGATCATCAAACAGATTTGGCCACTGTGCCCTGTGCCCTCCTCTTAAAGATCCTTGGTACGAATTAGCTCTCAGCAGTTACACTATTGAAAAAAATATATATATATCCATTTCGTTTAACACAGTGCTTCTCATGCTTACTGTTTTAACAAAAGAATGTTGTAGTAGAAATCTGTTTATAATACAGTAACATGTAGACAACTGCTTCAGAAATTCTGCAGAGAAGTCAAAAGAGGGACCGACCATCTGCTACAAATCAAGTTTTCGCACAAGCGCCCCTGAATTGCAGAGGAGTCAGGGATGTGGTTGGTTGGCAAAGCATACTGACTGCAGGAAAGCCAGGAGAGGTGATTTAGAGACAGGGGTAAAATATGGAGATGTGAGATGCATGATATTAGACTCAAAAGTGTCTTATATTTTACAATGGCTTGTATTTTACACTTAGGCATTTGGTGAGAACTAGCATAGGCCTAAAAAAAAAAAAAACAAAAAAACCACAGGCTGAAAATCACATGGGCTTGGGTTCAGGTCTAGGCCCACTGCACGCTAGCTGGTGCTTCAGGCAGCTTGCTTAACCCTCCAAGCTTCATTTTCCTCTTCTGAGTAATAGTAAAAACAACACCTCCGTCAGAAGGCGGCTGTATAAAGTGAATGAGATAATGATGTGATACCAGCATGACAGGAACTTTCAGGCAGGTTACCAGGCTCATGATGGGTCCAAAACATCTGCTGTCACAAAGTATTCTTAAAAATATATACATATAGGGATCCCTGGGTGGCGCAGCGGTTTGGCGCCTGCCTTTGGCCCAGGGCGCGATTCTGGAAACCCTGGATCGAATCCCACGTCGGGCTCCCGGTGCATGGAGCCTGCTTCTCCCTCTGCCTATGTCTCTGCCTCTCTCTCTTTCTCTCTCTGTGACTATCATAAATAATAATAAATAAAAATTAAAAACAATTTTTTTAAAAATACATATATATATGTTTTTATTTTATTGGGGGGGAAGGAAGGTGAGAGAGAGATGGGAGAGGGAGAGAAAGGGGAAGAGAGAGAGAGAGAGAGAGGGTGAGAGCACAAGCATGAGTGGGGAAGGGCAAAGGCAAACAGAGAAGCAGGCTCCAGCTGAGCAGGGACTCGATCCCAGGACCCTGAGATCATGACCAGAGCCAAAGGCAGATATTTAAGCAACCGAGCCACTCAGGCATCCCTGTCATGAAGCATTCTTAAATTATTTCTATTTAAATACATCCATGTCCACTGTGACTTGGCTAAATTTGAATCTGATTGCGGTTCGGTGGAAGTCATAGGCACTAATAACTGATGGCTGTTCACTAATGAGTCAGCCACGTTTCCTCATGAATCCCACGTACACACTAACACTGAGCTGGTGCCTGGGCCCTCAGTTCCTCAGAGAATAATCCTTCCCTCTACGACCATCTTGCCAAAGTGAATAGAAGAGAAGGGTAAAGTCGGAGAGACCTCTTGCTCACTCAGGGTTTCGTCGGCCAAGGGATGCTGGGGAAACCAGTAACAGGATATCTATCAAGGTCTCTGATCACACTGTCATCTACTGCTTGTGAGATTCCATGGGTTGGAAAATATTTCCAGAGACATCGGTCTCAGCATGCTAATACGCAGTAAGCCCAAAACCAAACAAAACAAAAACCCCAAACAAACCAACAAAAACACCAACCATATAACCCACACTTATTTCAGAATGGAACTCAAAAAAGGTTTAAATTAAACAGGTTTCTTCACTGCAGCTCTTCTCAGGGAGTTTCATGGCTTTGGGATTCTTCAAGAAGAGGCTGGTACACGCAGGCTTCTCAAATTACATTTTTTAGAGATGTCTGTTCTGTGGAACACATTTGGGACTGCGTTCAGACCTTCTAAGTTTATGGTGGTTTCATTGCATCAATCTCTGCACTGACTGATAACTGGCTCCAGGACATAAAGAGTCTACTGCATTCCAAGGTTTCCACCTTCCGCCTTTGTGGTAAACACCAGTGACATAAGTCAGTCTCACATATTAAGTATAAATATTTTTTAAAAATCCTTGTATGATAAATCTATTTTATTTAGAAGTCTTTTTTTTCTAAAGATTTTATTTATTCATACATATGGCACCCACAGAGAAAAGCAGAGACACAGGCAGAGGGAGAAGCAGGCCAGGGAGCCTGATGTGGGACTCGATACCAGGACCCTGGGATCACGACTAGAGCCAAAGGCAGACGTTCAACCACTGAGCCACCCGGATGCCCCCCAAAGAAAAGGTTTCTATTTCAAAGAGGTAAAATGAAGCCAGGCCTTGGGGGTCTCAAATCCCAAGAGGTTGGCATATTTTTTCAGCAGCCTGCCGAGGATCCTCACTCCCAGGCTCTCAACTTGCAAGGTGCTATATTACAATCTTCCATTTCCAGGTATAACAGGTCTCAGGGTGCTCTCAAGCTGGTATTCCTAACCTGGGCTCCGCAGACAGGCTTTGGGAATTGTACCCCAAATCTTTAGAGATGCTAATTTTTCAGATCGAAGAATCTATAGCTTCCTCAAAATAATCTTTAGTCTCCAAAAAGGGTAACGTCAACTTGTCCAGAGCAAGAGTGAGATGATCTCCTATTTCAAGGAACACAGACCTCGTTACCCTATATATATAATGGCATGGTTTTGGGATGCCTGAATGGCTTGGTGGTTAAGTCTGCTTTCGGCTCAGGGTATGACCCCGAGGTCCTGGGATCAAGTCCCACATCGGGCTCCCTGCATGGAGCCTGCTTCTCCCTCTGCCTGTGTCTCTGCCTCTCTCTCTCTCTCTCTGTGTGTCTCTCATGAATAAATAAATAAAATCTTAAAAAAATTAATGGTGTGGTTTTGAAAACACAAAAACCAACCACCCTGGTGCATCTATCCAATCAGAATGACATATGGCCTTGAAGTCTAGGGCAAAGAATGAAAATGAAATGGACTGAGTGGGAAGACTGAGCCCAGTAAGCAGCTTCGTGTAACAGCCTCCAAAACCACTTCTTGAGAAGGGACACACGAGGCACTGAGCTAATTGCTGAGGACTCAAGAAGAAAGTTCTTGCTCCCAAGGAGTAAATGGCATACGTCAGAGGCAGAAACAAGGCCTGTGTGATGAGAACCAAGGACGGGGGTGGGAGGGGGGGGGAGATGTGTACACAGAGCTCAGAAGCTGAGAAGAGTCTGGGAAGTCTCCAGAAGGAAGAATATTTAGGGGACACCCAGGTGGCTCCGTTGGTTAAGCAATGACTCTTGGTTTCAGCTCAGGTCATGATCTCAGGATTCTGAGATCAAGCCCAGCGTCGGGCTCTGCAGACTCTGCTTGAGATTCTTTTCCTCTTCCTTTCCCCTCTCACCTCCTCCCTCTCCCAACGTTTGTGCACAGGCTCTCTCTCGCTTTCTCTCCCTCAAATGAAAAATAATAATAAATTTTTAAAAAGGAGAAAGAATGTGTAAAGTAGTTTTATAGGAAATAAGTATTTCAACAGATTTCATAGATGGAGGTAGGTTGCCAGTAGGGAGAATAAATCGTAGATGGAGGAAATGGTACAGATAAAAGCACAGACTTTAAGGAATAGCATTTCTTCTAGGAAGATTTTGAGTCTAAATCAGGAAACTGAGAGGGTGGGTGTGGCACAGCCCCAGTGGGTTGCCAATGCCCGAGTAAACATGAGTCAACACATGGTAACTTCATGTGGGTGGAACATGTAAAAGATGAGTAGAGGAACAGGTAAAGAAGAAAGAAGAAAGAAGGAGGAGGAGGAGAAGGAGGAGAAGGAGGAGAAGGAGAAGGAGAAGGAGAAGAAGAAGAAGAAGAAGAAGAAGAAGAAGAAGAAGAAGAAGAAGAAGAAGAAAAGTATCTATTTCTGATATAGCCCTTTTCATAAAGATTTTATTTTCATGCCCACCATTTGCTTTGATGTGGATGGACCTGGAGTGTATTATGTTGAGTGAAGTAAGTCAATCGGAGAAGGACAAACATTATATGGTCTCATTCATTTGGGGAATATAAAAATTAATGAAAGGGAATAAAGGGAAAGGAGAGAAAATGAGTGAAAATATCAGCGAGGGTGACAAAACATGAGGGACACCTAACTCTGGGAAACAAACAAGGGGTGGTGGAGGGGGAGGAGGGCGGGGGGTGGGGGTGAATGGGTGACGGGCACTGAGGGGGACACTTGACGGGATGAGCACTGGGTGTTATTCTGTATGTTGGTAAATTGAACACCAATAAAAATTAATTTATATATATAAAAAAAAAAGATTTTATTTTCAAGTAATCTCTACACCCAATGTGGGGCTCGAACTCACAACCCTGAGATCAAGAGTCACTCTACTAAGCCAGCCAGCACCCCTTTCTCTGACATGGCCTTAAAGTGAGTGCACAGAGGAGGCTGTGTGCATTCTTTACTTTTTTTTTTTTTTTCCAGAAGCTGGAGAAAACTTAAGGCTACATGTTTGGAATAGTCCGACACATGGCAACGATACAACAGGACAAGTTTGATGTCTTCAGTGCCACAGAAATGAACTAAACGAGTTGCACTGGGATGATCACCCTCATTGCTGCAATGTTCATGGGCACCTCTGAAAAAAGAGCCAGGAGAGCCCCCTCAAGGCCCTCCCCGGACAAGTGAGGCCACTGGAATCCACTCGGCTCACATCTGTGACGCACTCATTTCAATACAGAAGATAAAGTCCACGCACATACACGGATTCCCCAAAGTGCGTTCGTTGTTGCTGTGTCACCGCCTTTAGAGGTCGACCAGTTAGTAGCCTCCTGGCTGGGAAGCCTCACTGCGGTGCAACACGAGACTTCACGCAACGTGGAGCCCGATAAAGGTTGCTACGCTCTTACAAAGGCGATTCTGAGTGCAGCAAGACCTGTGGCCTCTAATTCTTTCGCAGAAGTACCGTTCCGCTTTCCTACCTTCCACGTGGCCCTTCTACATTTTCCTGCAGCAAAAGGGTCTGGCAGTGGGTGTGACTAACAGTTTCCCAAACTTCTCTCCGGGAACCCAGTAACCCCAGCTGAACCCTAAAACGGAAATATCAGAAAGGGTCACTCTGAGGGCCCGGAGAGGGGAAAGGGGCCCGGGTGCTGTGGCATTGGGGGCGGGGGGAAGGACGCAGGAGGTAAGAAGGCTCTAGAAGGTACTCGAATTCCTTGCGATTCAGACCCCCTGCCCGATCTGTGAGGTAACCCTGCTAAGCTGGGCCCGTGCGGCCAGGGAGCCCCGCTCCTCAGGCCCAGGCAGCCTTCTTCGGGCGCAGACATGATGGGCCCTGACCAGAAATGCCATGCTTTTCCAGAAATGCCACACTACCTCTCGCCGCTGGGTCGGCCCACGAATTAGGAAGTCGTGCTATCACCCGCTGGCGTGCCATACGACGTGTGGCCAGGAGGCTGAGCTGCAATGACGCAGTCTCTTCAGGTAGGAAAGACAACCGTGTTCGGCTCTGTCACGGTGACAGCACGCTCTCTCAGGACTCGTGACAGGTGTGCAAAATCCAAGTCACGCGTTCACACTTACCATGGGGCTGCTGAAAGCAGCCTGTCTGGAGTGGGGCACTTCACTGGCTCCTTCTCCGCTGCCCGGAGCTCCCCCGCTCCCGCCAAGAGGACTCCAGGGTTTACTCCCCAAGGGCCCGTTAGGAACCGTCCTGCAGCTGGGGGCCCTCGGTTTGGCCGTAGTGCTGACGGGGCCGCTCGGCGTGTCTGCGGAATCTTCATCCTCAGAGACAGCTTCCTGGTAGGACTCTAACCTCCTGGCTGGGAGAGAAGAATCACACTGGGTCATGACCTGAGAAGAACCACTGGCACGCTGAATCTGTCAGGCAGCTCCTTCAGCAGCTACTTCACACCATCGCCTCCTCCCTTTTTAGGTCTGCCCTCCAAACTCCCCTCAGCAGGTTCCCGTAGTTCAAGAACTTACCTCCTGGAGAAAAGGAGAAGCCATCAGAAGGCAGCTCCCTTCTTCCCTCATCATCAAATCTACCAGCGTGTCCACACCTGTATCCAAACTCTGTCTTCCTTCTCTTCCTCCTCCTCCTCATGAAGTTTCAAATTCGAGGCTCTCTCCACTTGTGATGGGCCTCCCACCCTCTGGCCTTCTCAAGGACTTCACCCTTATTATTCTCCCCTTTGTGCTTACCCCAATCTCTCCTCAACCAATCTCATGGCTTTCCGTCCCCATCTGTCCACTGACACTACTACTCCTGGCAAGGTCGCCTGTGAGCTCCACATGACCAAATCCAATTACTGCTCATCTGTCCAGATCTTATGTGCCCTCTTGGCAACTTCCAATAGAGGGGACTATTCTCTTCTTGAAATGGTTCTTTTGATTTCTCCGACGCTATGCATACTTGTTTTTCCTCCTACTTCAATGACTGTTCCTTCTTAGTTTGTCCTGCTGTCTTCTCTCCTCAGCCCTCCACACTGGGTTGCTGCAGGAGTTTTTTCCCTTCTCCACCTCTGTACTCTTCCTCAGTAATATCACCCGGTCCTATATTTGAAATATCATTTCATATGCACATGACTTCCAACCCTGTATCTTCAACTTCTAACTGGAATCCAGACTCCTGTGTATATCCAGCTCTCCACGTGATACTTCCAGTTGGCTATCCAGTGGGCTCTTCAAGCAGAGACCCATATGGCTCACTCTCTTATCTTTCTCAAGTCTCTTATCATGTCCCTTGTCAGCAAAAACTTGCCAGATATACCCACACTACTGTAAATCCTACTTCTGCACTTACCATCATCTATACACTATCGATCTTGTTTTTATTTTTTGAATCGTCCAGTAGACTACAAACTCCAAAAAGGCAGTTTTGTCTATCTTGTTAATATGATATTCCCGGAGCCCAAAGCAGAGGCTAATACTCAATAAATATTTGTTGGCTAAATAAATAATAAATACCTTAAATTTGATATGGCCAATAAAGAACTCTTCCTCACTTTTCCCTCAAACTTACACTTCCCCTGGCCTTCTCCATCTTTCTAAATCACACCTAATTATTTACCTACTTACTTATGCCAGAAATCTAGGAGTTTCCTTGAGTCTTCTGATCTTCCCCAGCCCCCATATTCAAACCATCCCCAACAGCTGTCCATTATTTATCCAAAATATATCTCAACTATCTCGAACTCTCTCCATCTTTATTACCTCAGTTCAAGTCATCATCATCTCTCAACTGGACCAGTACAAATAGCCTCATAACTGGTCTCCTTGCCCTTCTGCACTCCATTCCTCAACCAGTAGCTAGAGTGATCTTCCTAAAACATAGAGCAGAGCAGATCACTCCTGCACACAACTTTCTCTATGTTGGCTTACATAACTCAAAATGATCTGACCTCTGCTGACTTCTCTACCGTTCTTGCCCCTTCTTCTTCCACACTTCTACCAAAGTCCAGCCTCACTGGCCTTCTTTTCTTACTTTGAAAATTGCCAAGCTCATTTCAGCCTGAGGGCCTAGATATGATCTGCTGCCTCTAACTGGTAGGTTTTTGTACCTGAACTGCAAGATTGTTACTCAGATCTAAGCTCTTGTCCCCCTACCAAACCCAAAGTGCCTTCCAATCCTTCTACGTCATTTCATTTTAATTCTCTGAAAAGCACTTTTCATTATTTTCTTCTTGATTTAAGAATTAATTTATTTGCAACTATTTTCTACAACAGAAGCTCTGTGAGAGCAGGGTCCCTGGTCTGTCTTGTTTATCACTATGTCCAGAGTCTGGAATACACAGCAGACATTCAGTAAATATGTACTTGCTGAACTGCTAGCTGTCTGTATTCAGGCCAAGTCTAGCTACTACATATAGAGTATGGCTTTTGGCAAGTTTATTTATAAAATAAAGAATATTTGCATATCTTGTTTTAATAGTTTTTACCTATATGTTTTGAGGACAAAGAGAGGCTAAGAGGCAATGTGGTGATTCTGAGTTCTAGAACCATCTCTTTCAAAAACTCAGTGTCTTCTAGGAAATTGCTTAGTCTTTCTGGGCCTCTGCTTTCTTATTTGGCAGAATGAACAACTTGGATTTAACGACTATTAAGATCCTTTTCCGGTTCCATAAGTTTCTTTATATTCTCTACCTAAGCAATACAGAATGCCTCCCTGTATGGCCTCTCAGCTTCAAAAACCCATCCACTTGAGCCCCAAATATACTCAAGTTCTCCATTCTCACCTGTGCCCTTGCTCAGAATATCCATTCTCTTCTCTATTTACATAACTCCTCAACATCTTTAAAGGCCAGCTCCTCAATGGTGACCTCTGAAACCATACTGGCCCTCCTCATTCGCTTGGGCCTCTGCAGCTTCAATGTACTGGATGCACTGAATGTTACAATGCACCGGGCAGTTGTCTCATTTAATAACCCAGAACAACCCCTCTGAGGCAGATATCATTAATAATTCCATTTTAGTGATAAAGAAATCAAGCTAATTTTCCCCATCTCACAAAATAATATTCATCAGTCTTACATCCACTTCTTTAAAGGCCACAGCCAATGCTCAGAGCCCTCATGTTATACTGTTTCTAAATACAGCCACATATATTAATGTGTATTATTCCTTGTCATTTTACATCAATATTGTCTGCCTGATTTCAGTGAGTCCATGCTTTGTAGTTTAAATATTTAATAAATGAATACTGAATGAATGTATGAATAGGACATGAATAAAATGTCCCTAGCATCAAGGGAAAGCTGTGGGGTAGATACCTAACATTTATCGGGTAGCTTCTTTTCATCAAGCATCTGTTTAGGTCCTTTTATAAACTCCTATATCTCCCTTTTTCATCTTAAACGTGAGGCTACCAAATAGAAACTCTAACTGCTCCACTTTGTAGCTAAGAGACGCTAAGATCCAGAGAGATCTCTGACCATGGACATGGTACTCTGACCACAGTAAAACAGCTAAGTGGAGGTAGAGTTGGGATACGAATTTAGGTCTTCCTGACCCCAAAGCCAGTATATGTATCTACTACATCCTATCTCCTTAGCAGTCATCTGTATATTATAGGTCAGTGCAGTGATTCTCAAAAAAAGGGGGTATTTGGCCCCAGCAAATATTCGGCAATACCTGTACACACTTTGGTTGTCACAACTGGGGGAGGAGCGCTACTGGCATTCAGTGGGCAGAGCCCAAGGAGGCGTCTAACATCTTAGAATGCACAGGACAGCCCCCGGGACAAAGAATAATCCAGCCCAAAATGTCAATAGTGCTGGGGTTGATAAATCCTTGAACAGCTAAAGAAATTTACTGGTGATGTGGTACCCTTTTTAAAATAAATAATTGTAGTATTACAAAACCTATAGAAACATAAAGGCTTGTGCTTCAGGAAGTTCTCCTAGCCATCATTAGGGAAATCAACCATCATGCAACTGTGTCATTAGTAGAATGCCAGACAGCTCAGCCCTTAGGACAGGACAAACTTGCTCAATAAACAGGACTGAAAGAGTGGCATCAAGAACACATGGAGTAATCTTTAATCATTTTGTAAAAAAAAACTACGAGAAGAAAATAGACCAATAAAGTTACAGTTTGATTCAGAAAACAAAGGTACTGGAGTAAGACTCTGAAAATTTTTCAAAAATTGGGAGTGAGAAGAAAAGGCTTTTATTTATTAGCATACTGATAAACAAAATCTACCCAAATGATCACGAAGACTTTTCACAGGTCTCTTAAAGCAGGTACTAATTCGTTCCGTGAATACCTCAGAGTCGGGCAGGAATTCTTACCTTCCAAATCACAGGAGAAAACACAAAGTTTGTAGTCTTTCCTTTGTCTCAAGATAGGTACTGGGTTAGACATGAGGTCAACTACTTTATTTCTCTTCCTAATTTAATCCCTAGTCTTCACTTCCAACTCCACCTTCAAATATCTAGCAACCTCTTCACGGCCTGTTACTTACATTTATTTGATATCTGGGGGAAGTGAGCAAGAGTCTATGGAACAGGAAGGTTATCACACTTTTCAATGTGCTCCCCAAAGGGCCAAAAACACTCATGATTTCTCCCAACTGTTTCATCCTCATATCCTCTAAACATTTTGCTATGAACTAATCCCCTAAACATTGCCAGCATCTCAACTTTCACCTGCTTGTAAACAGCACGCTCAGCTAAGTTTCGTCCAACTGTATCATCCATGTATCCTTGATATACAAATCTTTTATTCTAAGCTAATTCTCTGTGCATTTCCAGCATTCCAAAAATGTCTTGCCTAATATCCTTCTAGTGCGCGAACCTTGATCAATACTCAATTTACTGCCCAAACTGCCTGAAAAATCAAAACAATACGCAGCAAGAACACTGGACTTTAATCTTATGACACTAAATAAGTTATTTTTATGTTTCCATGTCTGTCTTCACAGTAGGCCATATGCTCCCCAAAAGATAAATCTATTTCTTATTTTAACAACTATAATTACAACAACAATAGCAGCTCATACTTATAAAGAACTTATTCTGTGCCATGCTCTAAGTGGCTTTTCATGAATTGTCTTCATGAATAATAGTAGATACTATTATTGAGGCTTTTTATTGAGGCCCAGAGAAATTAGATAACTTGCCCAGAGTCACTCGGCTGTAGGCACTAAAGATGGGAATCAGACTCAGGAGCCCTGATTCCAAAATCACTGTTCTTGCAAACTACTAAAGGCTACCACCATGTAAATCACATTCACAAACTGTGCATCCTAAGGGCACTCTCTAGACAAACTCAAATTGAGAAACATTCTACAAAATCTCTGAAGAGTGCCCTTCAGAACTAGGGTCTTCCAAAAATAGAAAGCCTGAGAAACTGTCAAGTCTAAAGGAGTCTAAACGATGACTGTCACACAGTCTCCTGAATGGGATCCTCAGAAAAAAGGTACAAACTGAAAAAATCTGAATAAAGTATGGATTTTGGTTAATAATGACATATCAATATTAGTTCACTATTTATGACAAATGTATTATATGACTAATATAAGACATTAACGACAGAGGAAACTGGATAGGGCAGCATTATGGAACCCTTGATAGCATCTCTGTAACTTTTCTATAAATCTAATACTATTCTAAACTAAAAGGATTATTGTTAAGAAAGACACTCTCTTCCAGTAATCTTTTAAAGAAATGTCTTTTAGGGGCACCTGGATGGCTCAGCAGTTGAGCGTCTGCTGTGGGCTCAGCTCATGACCCCAGGAGTCCCGGGATCGAGCCCTGCATCGGGTGCCCCGCACAGAGCCTGCTTCTCCCTCTGCCTGTGTCTCTGCCTCTCTCTCTACGTCTCTCATGAATAAATAAAAATATTTTAAAATATGTCTTTTAAAATTTTAATATGCACACAAATCACCTGGGAATAATGTTAAATGAAGATTTTATTTGAAGCTTTAAAGAGGGGCCAGAGATTAAGGCACACTCAAGTGTTGCTGATGCTGCTGAGTCCATGGACCAAATCTCTAAGTTGCAAGGTTTTATTTTTTTTTAAGTTTATTTATTTAAGTAATCTCTACACCCAACATGGGGCTTGAACTCACGACCTCAAGATCAAGAGCCACATGCTCTTCCAACAGAGCCATTCAGGTGCCCCTATGCTGCAAGGTTTTAAAACATCAAAGGGTGTCATCAAATGTGTTTACTGCATAAGTGCAGGGGCTATTTCCTAGCAGCAATGTTCTTTATGGAAGGATCTCCTGGGTAATGCTTTTGCCCCCAAATCATGAAAGGTTAACCCGTTTTCATTTCAGTGAACATAATAGGTCTTGGGTTAAATTCTGGAGAGAATAAGCCCTACTATTCCCTCCTTCATCAATCAGAATGTGTAATACACGTCCTTGTTTATAAAGCATTACAAAAAAGAGACCAGGAGCTCTGCATGTACCTATGGCAGAGATCTGCTCACAGTCAGAGTCGGCACTTTCTAGAGGTAGTGCAACACCCATGGTCCACAAACAGTTCAGTCAAGGTAGCATAGGATTCTTGGTCACTTGGTACTGTCTCTGCATAAGGGGCTACAGAAGAGCAGCCCTCACTGGACACAAGGTTACACGCTCAGGGACTGGGGTGGGGAAGGGCTGGTGTTAGCCCTCTTAACTGCTACCAATACAAAAAACAATGCAGTGCTTCCCATTGTGTATTTTGTGAAATATTACTACATTACTACTATAAGATATTTCTTGAAAGCAAGGCTCTATAGTTAAATATTTTGGAAGACGCTAATCTCACAAATGGGTGTGAATGCTTAGCTACACTGAGGTTCACTGTAGCACTGCTTACCACAGTAAATGACAGCGGACAACCTAAATTCATGGCGGATTACTGACATGAATTTTGGCAATTGTTATAGTACAATATAGCATAGCCTCTAGTAGAATTAGTAGAGAATAGAAAGGTGGTCATGATGAAGTCTTACGATACATGAGAGACTCCTAACTCTGGGAAACAAACCAAGGGTTGCAGAAGGGGACATGGTGGGCGGATGGGGTAACTGGGTAATGGGCATCAAGGAGAGCACATGATGTGATGAGCACTGGGTGTTATACTCTATTTTGGCAAACTGAATTTAAATAAGAGTTTTTAAAAAATGTTTTAAAAAGAAATACAGTTATAAAACCAAAAGCACACGATGATGCCATTAAAAAATATATATACTAATGTGTACAAGAAAAAAACTCAAAAGAAATGCACAAAAATGTTGACAGTGGTCCTGTTTGGTGGGGGTTAGTGTTGGCTTTTAAATTTTCTCTTTAGTTTATCTGAAATTTTCTATAATATTGCTTTTGTAACAAAAATACAACAAAGAAGATGAAACACTATAGGGTATCATCATATCCAATATGACTAGCTATTTTTTATAGTTATATAGTAATTATGTGATAGTCAACATTTTATCCTTCACATTCACAAGGAATAGCAAAACCTGGCTTAAAAAAATACATGTGCCTAGGAGAAAATACAGCGTATTTTTTTAAATTTTGGGCCAGGTGGGATGTCTAAATTTAACACTACTGTCAGAAATTATAATCTTCATAATCTTATTCATAATAACTGACAAGATTTAATAAACATATAAAAATTCTGACAAGAAGAAACCCCCTAAGAGACCACGCTGGATGGAATTCTAAGATGGCCCTCAAAAGTTTCTGGTCCCCTTGATGGACACACCTTCTGAGTACGATAGGGTTTCACTTATTAAATCGTGTTATGTGGAAACGTGGAAGGATTTTGCAGATGTCATCAAGCAGCTAACCAGCTAAATCTGAGTTAATCTAAAAGAAGACTATCCTGGGTAGATCTGACCTCAGCAGGTAAAAAGAAGGGTCATAGTACTTCTGCAAAGTCAGAGAGATCTCTAGAAAGCTAGAGATTCTGCTGCTGGCCTTGAAGTAGCCAACTGCCCCCCTATGGAGAGGTCACATGGTAAGAAGTGGTGGGCCACCTCTAGTTGCTCAGAACACAGTTCCAGGCTGACAGCCAGCAAGACAGCAGGGACTTTAGTCCTACACCATTAAAACTCTGAATTCTGCCAAAAACAAGGGAACCATGAAGAGGACACTAAGCCTCAGATAAGATCACAGTCCCAGCTGACACCTACATTTCAGCTTGGTGACAGACCCTGAGGGAGGATGCAACCATCCCACGCCCAGGCTCCAGCCCCACAAAAGCTGTGCCATAGTATATCTGTGTTGTTTAAAGCCACTAAAATTGTCATACTTTGCTATGTGGCAATACTCGTCATATACAGAAGGATAACATCACAGGGTCAAATTATTTAACATTTAGTTCAATACAAGTGCGCAAATGAAAATGGACACTGGCCATGGACAGCCTAGATTCGACAACAAGCTGAACACCAGCCCTGCCCTGCCTTAATAGATAAAAATCTTCCTACAGATTACTGAGAAAAACTGCTTTGTAAAACAGGGAAAGGAAACAATCACTTTACCAAGGAAACTCAAATGGCCAATAAACACATAAAAAGTTAAGCATCTCATGGCTAATCAGAGATAAAGTAAGACAACAAAGTGCTGAGCCTACAAAATTCACACAGATTAAAAGGAGTAACTTCACCTCATTATGGTTGTTGTGAAAAGCAGGTATTGTTTTTCTGGGTTGTGGGAATATAATTAGCAATATTTTAGAGGTAAATTTTATAGGATCTATAAAAGTTTTATGTGTGCATACCTCTGGAGCCAATAATATCACTTCTAGAAATGTAGGTTATAAAAATAAGATATGTACAAAAATGCATATTACATGAAGAATTTTATTTTAAGCTACATGAGATTAAGGGACTTGTGCCACATATTAGGGGCTCACAATATACGTTGAATGAGTGATAATTGAGTAAGTTGGCTGCAAGTATTGTTATAATAGCAAAGTAAGCCTGACCACATACAATGACTTGGAAACAAAGTCCATGAGATACTGTTGAATAAAAGAAGCAAACTGCAAAAAAATATATTAAACATGTTCTAAAGTATAAAAGGGAAAATGTGCAAATACATATGTTCACATATAAAAGAATATGGAGAATTGTATATTCATCATATTGTTAATGGCGGTTAGCCCTCTAGAGAGTAAGGTCTTTAATTCGTTAAGGCTACTTTAGGGATCCCCTCAGAATTATTTTCATAGAAGTGCATACTCCTTTTGTAAATAACTAAATTAATGAAGTTCAGTTCTTTAAAGAAAACTTGTCATTTCTGTATCTACTCCCTTAGCCTCAGAAGTTTAGCTCATCATATTTGTTCTTAAACTAAGTGTTCCTAACCATGAATCAATGGATATCTATGGGCTAAACGATGTGATGAGTTAGAGAGAGGCTATGGTCCCTCCCTTTGGAATTATTTTCAAAATATTTCTTAGGGAGATGGTCCACAGTTTCATTAGATTCTCACAAGGATCTATAATACTGTATTCTCACCCTACCTAATCTCCAATCTTCTACTACTACTAGTAATTTACTTTGCAATCAAAGAAACAATGGCAGTAGACTCCTTGACTCTGACCTACTAGTTTTGGAAAGAATATGGAAGCTTAACCCCTGTCAGGGTGAGGTACGTACCTAATGCTTAAATATAGCACCTCTAAGCTAGAATTATCAAACCTTTAAGTGGGTGCCAAAAAAAAGACCAATCTTAAGGTTGGTTTTCACAGAAACCCAACACTCACCATTTTCTTCATGGCAGTAATCAAAGCCCGCCACACTACATCTTCGGAAAACCATCTTATTCTCAGTGAGAGTTCCTGTCTTATCAGAAAAGAGGTACTGAATCTGGCCAAGATCCTCGGTGATGTTCAGGGCTCGGCACTGAACGGTGCAATCCATTTTCTCATTGTAGAAATCCACATCACTTTGAATAAAATATATCTGTCCGAGCTTCACAATTTCAATGGAAACATAGAGAGAAATGGGAATCAAGACCTAAGAGGAACCCAGTAATTTAAAAAAATGTTAGAGAGGGAAAAGAAAGTTTGAGAAACCAAATATAGCTGGGTAAGTAACAAAGATCTTAAAACACTCTGATGAGCCCAACAGAAATTACCTGTAACAAAATGATCATGGTCCAAAACATATAGAATCCTGCCAACACCGGTGATATGACATGTCCATCAGGCTCAGGGATATTAAAAAATATTATGTTTTCATATTTACTTAACCAGATTCCATGACCTTTCAAAAAACACACAGACATGAAAAGGATGCTCCATATATATTGTATAAATATAGAACTTCACTCTTAAAGAGGAGTAAGAGTATTGATTTTGGTTCAACACTAACTGTTTATTTTTTAAAACAAACTAAAATTCAAAAGGTTCCACATTCTTCCGTCTCTGTCTCTCTTTAAATCCCTTCCCAGGCCTCTTTCCTACTCTGGCCACATTTTCCTGAATATAAGCAAATTAATGCCTTTCAGATCAAGGAATGAGAAAGATAAAGATGTGAGGGAAAAAATTACTGGCAAATAAAATCTCTTTTGCAGAAGTTGAATATTCATAAATACTTTGAAAATACAATACTTTTAAATAAATATCTTGCTGCCAAGATGTCAGTAAAAAAATAATGTTTTACCTACCCAATGCACCAGTTAAACACATCACAAACAAAAGTAGGACACACCAGAGGACATCTGTATTTGCTCTTCTTTCTAATTTGCTGCGCTTATACCTTGGACCACTGTTGTTCAGCATTGCTTTGGTTTCGTGGCCTACATAGGTAACATGTCAGAAAATGTGCAAATTAAAGCCAGGTAGCAAATACCATAGTTTTACATCTCTGTGGAAGGTAATTTAATAAAGTTGCATAATACATTTTGCTAATTTCGTTTGCTTTTGTGATCCATTTAGAAAAGCAGAGACCAAGGATTAAGTTTATTAAGACAAAATTTCCTTCCTGCTTTGGCAGGCTGCATTTTGAATAAAAGGAAAATGTTAACTTGAAAAGAAAAAAAAAAAAAACACACAGAGGAGACAACAGCGAAAATCAGAAGTGTGACTAACCTGCATAAACCACAATGCCCACAACGGCCTCTGTGTTTCTAATGGTGCATCCTCTAAGTAATAAATTTTCTTTACTGAGACCCACACGTTCTTTGTTGGAATGTTCTCTGTAAGAAAGACAGCATTCATTTTTTAAATAGCAAAAGGGAGGGGAGAAATAGCAAAAATGGGAATGTAAAAATAAAAATCATGGATATTGAGTTTTCTGGACTGGGAATATTAAGTCAAGCAGTTCACAAGAATGGTTTCAAATCTCTGGGCCATTTATCTATTATTTTGCTTTGGCTCAGAAAAAGATGCAACAAGTTTTAACTGCCACTGTCTTCTATTACTCTCTGTCCACTTCTAGTTCTACAGAAAACTCAAAAATAATTCCAAATAAGGAACTGCTACTCTAGTATGAACTATAGTTCAGAATAATTTGGTAACAGACAAGGGAAAAATTCTTGATAGAGTTAGGAAATTACCATTTTCAACCCGGATGGAATCAAGGGTTATTCTAGGCCATGGTAACCTGGGGCAGCTAAAATCAAGAGGTTGCAGGCTGATGAGGAATTTTATAATGAAAGAATAAGGCCGACAGCGCCAGTCTTAACAGAACTACCAAGGGGACCAGGGACATCACAGGCCTCCAGATGGCATGGAATAAGAAGCATGTGCGTCCATCCACAGGATCCTTAGTCAAGCCTCTATAACAGCAAATCGACCTGGGGTGGACGGCATCAAGAGATCTGTGAAGCCTTTGAAACTATATGCAATATTTCCTGCATGTACGCATGTGCATGGATGCGTTTTGTAGAAAGAGAAACTATTTCTTTCATCAGATTCGAAGGTGCCTCTGGGACCGTTAACAGGAAGTCAGAGGGTCAGAAAACAATGTTCACTGCCACCACAAGGACACAGTCTGCCAAATACGAAGTGTGGTAAGCTGCAGGCAATGACCTGGTTTGTTCAACAAATGGATGGCACAGGGGCACAAGGAGAGGCAGGCAGGACTCAACTCAGAAGGAGGCAATCAGCTCAGTCTAGAAAGAGGGGTAAATCCTATCAGCTAGATGACCTAACCTCATGGGAGGAAAAATTTAGAGACACATCAACCAAATGAAACGGGCCAAATGAGACCTTGTTCTCATCCTGGTTAGGATACCCTGACTACAAAGACTTTTTTGAGGTAACTTAGAAATTTGAATGAAAACTAGGCACTAAATGATGTCTAGAAATTATTCTTAATTTAGTTGGGTGTGATAATGATGTTATGGCCCTGGTCCTTTACTCACAGTGAGGTATTTACAGCAAAATGCTAATGGGGAAGGAAACAGGAAGATAACTGAACAAAGTTGGCAAAATTATGAAATAGTTAGAACGGGGGAGAGCCCATTGGTGTTCATTATATTTTTCTTTCTGCTTTTGCATGCTTGCAACTTTCTTTAATAAACAGTTTAAAAGTTACCGAAGAACTACTTGATCCACTTAGGATTGTGGCAAAAACACAGAGAAAAATAACTGGACACTTTTTAAAAATAAAGATTAATGCATTTCACCTATTTGAAAATGCCCTTTTAATTTCAACATTAAAATTAGACTGTTTCCTAGGGAATAGATTTCACTCAATAAGTTCTTTCTTCTTTTTTATACATGTAGGAAAACTGTCACCGTATCTGGTATCCTTGCTATCTGGAATTACAAGGGACAGGAAAGAACTCTTCAAAGAAGATTTCATACAAAGGACAAAGAATATAAGATTTGTCACTTCACTCCTATAATCTGTAAACACCTTATTCTTAGGGTGCATGTCTATATTCTTTCAACATAAGCAGTTTTATGTACAACCACAGAGTCCTAATCAGAGCTAAGAGTGTAATTCGACTTTCTGGTTTTACAGATGAAGAATTTTAGTCCCAACATTCACATTTCCATGTAGTATTCCCAGGCAAGCACCACACAATCCTCATCAATATAGCATTTTCATTATCCCTAAAACCTTTATAAGAACAGATTTAACATACAACGACATTTCCAAAGTTCCTCAGTAAGATTTAAGATTTTTTTCCCCCCTGGGATCCTTATTTTCCACCATTATATCACTCTAGGTTACTATCATTAGATCAAAGCCCAACTTCCGTAATAAGTGCATCTGCTCAAACATGAAACAGGTCTTGCACATGACAGGTATATATTTGGCACTTATGACGTGGGACCTTTGGATTCTACACGAAGCTCCGACTGTCCACGTAGAGCTCTCATCCACTGAAGGAGCTGGGTAACACCTGCTGTGTGCCCAGCACTCCCACTCGGATGCTGGGAATAGAAAAACACACACAGTCTTGGCTCCTGTGGTTTAAGGGGAGGTGGGGGATAGAGGAATATCGAAGTGTAATATAATTATTATCGATACCAGAATACAAATCTGATATTCAGCATGCACTGTGGGCACAAATAGGGAGAAAGTTCTACCAGAGAGTGAGATGGGAGAAGTCACCATATAGAAAGTGAGCTTGAGAATCTCCATTTTTGTTGATTTTAGAAAACAGACCACAAAGCAGGAAAGGGATAAGGAATTAGTTTAGTGGATAAAAATAACTTTTCATAAAATCACTGTATCTGGGATCCCTGGGTGGCTCAGCAGTTGAGCGCCTGCCTGGAGACCTGGGATCAAGTCCCGCATTGGGCTCCAGGCAGGCGCATGGAGCCTGCTTCTCCCTCTGCCTGTGTCTCTGCCTCTCTCTGTGTGTCTCTCATAAATAAATAAGTAAAATCTTAAAAAAAAAAATCACTGTATCCCTCTGGGCTGACTGTCTCATTCAGTGCTTCCCTGCAGGTTGCTAAAGCCAGGTCTCAGAGACCCGGGGAAGTCCAGTCACTGCGGAAGACAGAATCTGAGGGAGGGACAGGACAAAGAGAGCGTCTCTTGGTTGTGGATTCCTAGAGGAAGGCAGTTCCAGAGGTCAGCCCAGGCTGAGCAGAAAGTAAGGCACCACACCTGAAGCAGACAAACATCAGAGGAGCCCATGGCGGATGGCAAAACCACAAAGCAGGTAAAGATGGCATCAGGGAACCTGGAAGCAAGCGGTAATTAGGAAAGCCAGGAGGTGAGTGGGGCCCTAGAACTACGTAAGGGCTTAGGGCAAGACTGAGTACCCGCAACAGCAAATGATGTTCTACTATGTCTGTTAAGAAAAAGTCATGTCTGATGTGGATGAAGAGAGAAAGACAGAGGGAGACAGACTGACAAGGTAGACCAGGACTCCAGTTCCAGAAATTGGGTTAAGAAACTCGCTAAGTTGCTTTCCCTCGCTGTAATTTAAGCTTTTCTTCTCAAGCAGTCATATACATCGAGTCACGTAGTATATATTCTTTTCCACCTGGCTCCTCTCACTCAGCGTAGAGTCTAAAATGCATCCATGCTATTGCATGGAACACCGGTGAGTAGCTGAGTAGCACCCCACGGTAGCACCCCACGGTAAGGATATCCGATTTGTTTCTCCATTCACCTATTGATGGACATCTGGGTTATTTCCAGTTTGGGACTCTCACAAATAAAGCTGCTGTGAATGTTTGTGTGCAGGTTACCGCATGAAGAAATGTTTTATTTTCTTTTTTCTTTTTTTTTTTAATTTTTTATTTATGATAGTCACAGAGAGAGAGAGAGAGAGAGAGAGGCAGAGACACAGGCAGAGGGAGAAGCAGGCTCCATGCACCGGGAGCCTGATATGGGACTCGATCCTGGGTCTCCAGGACCGCGCCCTGAGCCAAAGGCAAGCGCCAAACCGCTGCGCCACCCAGGGATCTCAGCTTTGTGGTTTTAACTTGTATCTTTTCACGTCGCTATTTGTCATCTACATAACCTTTTCTGGTGAAGTGTCTGTTCACATTTTTTTTTGGCCATTTAAAAAAACATATTGTTTGTATTATTACTCAGTTTTTTTTTATTACTCAGTTTTGAGAGGCCTTTACATATTCTGAACACAAGTCTTACAACCGATACATGCATTGCAAATATTTTCTTCCAGTCTATGACTTATCTTTTCATTCACTTAACAGTAGCATGGAAGAGAAAACGGTTTTGATTTTGATTCTTTTTTGCGTTTTTTTTTTGTCCTTTTATGGATTGTGCTTTGGGTGTTGTGTCTAAGAAATCTTCGCCTAACCTAAGGTATCAAAGATTTCCCTTACATTCCCTCTATGTTTACGGAGCTTCTAATCTTAGGTTTACATTTAACCACAGGCTCCAGTTTTAGCTAAGTTTTTTACATAGTGAGAAGTATGGCTTGAAGTTTATTCTTTAGAATATGCACATCCAATTGCAGTAGCATCATTTGTTGAAAAGAGGAATCTTTCTTCACCAAATTGCTTGTGTACCTTTGTTAAAGGCACATTTACAGATAACAAAAAACCAGCTGTGTGGGTCAATTTCTTTCATCTCTTCTGATCTACTGGCCTGTCTTTAGGCCAAAATGACACTAACTTGATTATTGTACCTTTAAAAGAAATCTTGAAATCAGGTGGCATTAGCCCTCCCTCCCACTCTATTCTTTTTCAAAGTTGTTTTAGGTTAATACAGGTCCTTTGAATCCTCACAAAAACTTTTAGAATAAAGTTGTCGATTTCCTAAACAACAACAACAACAAAAAAGAACAACAACAGCAACAAACCTCCAAAACCATGCTAGGATTTTGATTGGGATTACACTGAATCCACAGATCAATCTGGAGAAAAACTGACATCCTAATAATACTGAGTCTTTCAACCCATGAACAACGTGCATGCATCTCTCCATCTATTTGGGGCTTTAATTTCTTCTCCCAGCAGTGTTCCATGGTTTTGAGTACACAGGTGTTTCACATATTTTGTCAGAATTATCCTCAGGTATTTCATTTTTTTCTGACACTATTATAAGTTACATTTTGAAAAATTTCAACATCTGATTGCTTATTGCTAGTATACAGAATACAATTGGTTTTTGTATGTGGATCTGTATCCCACAACACTGTTAAACTCACTTACTAAATTCCTGTAGATTTTATCAGATTTTCCACAAAGAACATGAAACCATCTACAAATAAAACACAGTTTTACTTCCTTCTTATTTGATAGCTTTCATTTCCTTTTCTTGCCTGACAGCGTTAGCTAGAACCCACAGCACAATCTTGAATAAAAATGGTAAGAGTAAATATCCATGTCTTGTTCCTGATCTTAGGGGAAAAACAATTAAAAGCATTTAGTCTCACACCATTAAGTATGATTCTAACTGTAGATTCTTCACAGACGTCCTTTATCAGATTGAGAGAATTCCTTTCTCTTTCTAGTTTGCAAGAACAGAAATTAGATTTTGCCAAATGCTTTGCATCTATGAGATGATCACTTGGTTTTTCCTTTTCAATTTGTTGATTATGGCTTGTTAATATGGTAAATTACATCTTGTGATTTTCTAATATTAAACCAACCCTGCATTTTTGGGATAGGTCCCACTGGGTCATGATGTATTATCCTTTATACATATTGTTGGATTTGATTTGCTTTAATTTTGTGTAGACTTTTTACATCTCTGTTCATGCAGAATATTATCTTTCCTTAAATGTCTTTGTATGCTTTGGTATACGATGATTCTGGCCTCAAAAATGAGTTGGAAATCTTCTCTACCATCTTTTCTTAAGATCACCATTAGGAAGTAGGTCTGTCTCCCCTTAAAAATCAGGAAACTGAAGATCAAAAAGAGTAAATAACTTGGTTCAAGACATAAGGCACTTATGTGGCCAAAGCCAGGCCTGAAATTAGGTAAGACCTCAAATTCTAGCTGCCCTCACAAAAGGGATATACATGCTGCGAGAAATCTCCAGAATGAACACCACTGTAGCTTTCCATATTTTTTTCTTACACATGTTCCAAACACTTGGCTAACTTTTGCCAGCCAAAAATATCCACTTGACACTCTAATTCTGCAGCAGGACACTATCCTATCATGTTCCCTAGGTTGCCAGTTCTGTCCACATACCCTCTTCCCAACAACATGTCTTGGGCTTAATATGGAGCTCACGGAAAACATTCTTACACTACCAACAAAGATTTTACAATTATTTTAAGAATGAACTTGTGTTGTTGTTTTTTAAAATATACATAAGTAAATATTTACTAAAGGATTAAAATAAAGCTAATCAATGGATAGCTAAACACATGGTCTCTGGGGATTTAACTTGGATATACAGACACAAAAATTTTATTGACTTAAATAAAATTGCAATACACAATTCCACTCACACCAACAAATGTTAAGTCATGTATCACTCACAGATAGCCTCGGAATCTGTTGAGGTCATTGTTTGGACTTTCACATTCTATCTTACTGGAGAATTTCTCTGGATCAACTTCAGAGTCCTAAAAAATAATAAATAAATAACTATATATATATATATATATATTTTTTTTTTTTAATCACAACACAAGAATTCAAAGTCAAACCCTTGATATTTAAGTGTTTACCCTTTCGCCAGCTCTTAAGATAAAACTAATGCATCCTTGCCACAAAATTTAGGTCACAAATTGCCCAAATAAAGAAAATGATGAAAAAAGTACAGGCATAAGCACAAAGGAGTAAGTGGGATCAGGATGGTCCTAGAACACTGACAGGCATCTACAGGTGTTGAGAAGGTCTGAATCATACACGGGAATCCATGCAGGACTCTGCAGAGGAAAGCTTATACTCCTACAGCAGGTACTCTGTTAGGTAGCAGGCACTGAACACCTAAAAATATTGTTCTTTAATCATGCAGAGACTTTCTGAGATTAAGCATATATGTGAACATTCTGAGCACCTATACATTCATCCCAGCAAATTTTATTTAAAAACTTAAGCCGGACATCAGCATCTTAGAAATATCTCAAATGGATTAAATGGTAACTTTAGAATGCTTTGATGAGGGATCCCTGGGTGGTGCAGTGGTTTGGCGCCTGCCTTTGGCCCAGGGCGCGATCCTGGAGACCCGGGATCGAATCCCACGTCAGGCTCCCGGTGCATGGAGCCTGCTTCTCCCTCTGCCTATGTCTCTGCCTCTCTCTCTCTCTCTCCCTGTGTGACTATCATAAATTAAAAAAAAAAAAAAAAAAGAATGCTTTGATGATACCAATGAGCAAATAAGCCAAGTGCTTTTGTAGAACACGTACAGATTCCCTAAGAATAAGCCATGTGAACTTTATTTCATTTCCTTGCTTTCATATGATGGCTTGCCTAATAAAAGAAATACTACTGATGTATCTCATTAAGTATTAACATATCACAGCAAATGTAAGGAAAATGTGAATTATATAATCATATGATTTGACTGGCTCATCATTGATTTTTTTGAGTTCTTCTGGTATACAAAAATCCCTCTTATGTACTGGAAATATACTATTTTTTTCTTTACAATTTCATGAGGTAAGTGTGATAATGAGGTCTAATTAATAGAGAGAAACACACACAAAGAAGATAATTTGCTACAGGTCTCCACACAATCAAGTGTTTACCAACAGGATGCAAACTAGGTCATGGGATTCCAGAGCACTGACCCTTAACTGAACCCTAAGTGTGATGATTAATCAACTGGCATCACCCTCAAAGTAGGTACTTAGTCGTATGTGAATAATAGAATCTCAAGCTGTACAAGATTTTTACCAATGTCTTAGTTACATAAATGCTCGCAAAAGACAATGACAAGCTGAGAGGCGTATCAACCACAAGATCTAAAATGAAATCCAGACACAGAAAGATGGTCCAATGTTACATCAGATGATGAAATTTACTAAAGATCAGGACATTTATGTGGCTAAAACACTTTTTGGTTTACAAGTATAAAATGGAAGAGATCTGACTAACAGTTCAGTTTTTAAAAGACTATTAAATTTTAAAATACTTCATCTCAAGTGCACCCAGACAGATGGAAACGAAACAGATATGTAAGCCCTATACATGACATTTTTACATATATTACTTCATTTGCATCTCACAGCAACGCTAGGAGACGGGCATCATCATTTCTATTTTAAGATAAACTGGTGGATAAAATAAGTGACTATCCCAAGATCACATAGTAATTAAAGAGCAGATTAGGATTCATTCAAACTCATGTTAATAATATAACTTTGAATTTCTTGTTTCCCTCACTATGACATGTGAAGCTCTGTGGCACGAGAAGTTACACAAGTCTCAAAAGTCTGCATATAGATGCAATTATAGATTTTTATGGACAGAAGGTGATTAGCTCCACCGCAAAATAACTGTTCCAAATTGCAAAACAATTCTGTTAGTTTCCTTTAATTCAGTTCTAAAAAATATAGGATTGCCAGACCAAAATGTGTGAACTTCAAAGTCATTACATCCTATTATCTCTAAAACACTCATGCAGATGCCTGCAAATGGAGCAAGCCCTCTGCGCTTCTATTTTGTAATAGTAAAAATGAATTTAAAGATCTCTTTATATGTACCCGTGAAAATCTTCCAAAAAGAAAGTGTTCATATGTCACCAAGTGAGAACACATTATTTACCTGCTCTGCATATCCCCGAACCACCTGCCTCTGTTTTAAATTGCTCTCTCCGTCAAGGCCAGAAGTCTCAATGTGACAGATTTTATCTGGATCAGTGGAAAAGAGTAAGACCATGTCGGCAGGAATAACCTCATTACATGAAAGGCGAATAAAGTCCCCGACAGCAACATCTTTCCAGCATTGGTCCACATATTTTTTCTCTTTCCTAACAATGGGGGGAAAATAAATTTAAAGAGAACATTAAGACAGAAACATACATAATCTCATTTTTTTAAGTTGGGTATAATTTAAAGCATGTTTAAAGCATTAGGGTGAATTTTAAAAGGGGAGCCAGAGAACATCTAAATTCCAGAATTTGCTTCACCTGAAAATTTAGTTATTTAGCTAATAAAACATATTTCCCAGCTGTTCGGTCCTATAAGATTTTGAACTATGACGCTGTTTGAGGGTAACTCTGGAATAAAATTAACATTTGATGGGTTCATTCACGGGTAACACAATTCCTGTGTGCTGCCCTGTGGTCAGGTATCAAGGATCCAGAAATGCACAAGACACATAATCTACTCTCAGGGAGCTTCCCATCTGTCAGATAAGATGAAACAAAGGAAACACCAAAGAAGTAAAATAAAAATAAAATGAAATAAAATGAGTAAAATACTCAACATTTAAAAAATTATTATCCTACTATTAACACCTCTAATTACTACTTAATAAAATTCTGGTAAAACAGTCCTGGGTCTGCTGCAGGTGATCACTAGAAAGGAGGATGGACACCTTTAACTCTTTTCAAAAGTTCAGTTTTCCTATTTATATATTCATTTTAAAGGAAAGATACATCATTTGAGGTTGTGTTTCCTTAAATACTCTGCTCTATGTTAAAGTTTTTGCCATACTTCTCATGCCTTTTCATACTAACCTGCATGAATTATGCCTCAAAAAGCATTTTCCTTAGAGTAGAATGAGGACATCTGTATCACAGAACATCACATCAATTAGTTAAACAGCATTTCATATACAATGCCACCAACCAATATTAGGAAAGTCTGTCTCATTCCCCTACTGCCTGCCAAATACCCATAAAGAACTGGTATTTGTCACAAAGATACACTTATATTTTCAAAAGTAAAGATTTATTTTCAGTTATATTTATAGAACTAAATATTCAAATTCATTATCAAAGAAGCCTGGGAGCTATATTCTAAATTATGCATCAGGTTAAATAGAAATGCCACCTTGGGCCAATCCTTGGATATTTCCTGCTCTACAGAATTATCAGTTATTTCAAGAAATATTTAGCTTAAAGGGCTACCTAACAAGTACATTTTCAGGACTTATTTTCCCAAAATAACTAATGCACCATGTTGAATCCAACTGAAGGAAATCCGTGATTACCCAAAGAGTTGGTTAGTTCAAGGAGAAGGACAAATAAATGCTTTATTTTGTCCTTTCCTTTCTTTTTCCTAGTGTTTGTGCACACTGGTTCACTCTTCATGGAGGGAAGTAAGAGAGAACATCAAAGAACATAGGTATGGGTCATATTTCAAAGGTTCAGTCCTATATGTCTAGTGAGCAATGATTTCATTCCATAGAAAATGGAGAGTCACAAGGTCACCAGAAGAAGTATGTGATATTGGCTAACTCCTGAGACAAAGTAATGGATGGATTTTGGGTGTCTGGCTACTTTGGTGTAGGAATGGCCAAAAACCAATGTATTGAATTAATTCAGAAGATTGAAGATGATCAGAATTAAGGCAATAGCAACAGGGATAAACAGAAGATTAATTCAAGACATATTTGGATTTTTTTGACTTACATGTTTTATGACTTACTATACCACATTTTATTATGGAACTACACGTAAAGGAGTTATCAAGCATGACTCTATGGTTTCTAACTTGTACGACAGGATGATGAATGGTGCCTTTTACCACGTCTTAAATTTTAGAAGCAACTGGTTGTGTGAGAGGGCAGATAATAAACTCAGACTGGAAAATTTATCTGAAGCGGGCTGTGAAATTGAAGATGTGCAGCAGTTTGAAGGTTCTGATCTTATGCGCGTGGGTACAAATGTAAATGTGGAAGTCCTAGGTACCTGGAGGGCAGGTGACATCAGGTAAGGACATGAGATTCCTGAGGGAAAGAAACGTCAGTGTAACAAAGAATGGGAAGGCAGAGACACAGGCAGAGGGAGAAGCAGGCTCCAGGCAGGGAGGCCGACGTGGGACTCGATCCCAGGTCTCCAGGATCACGCCCTGGGCCAAAGGTGGTGCTAAACCGCTGTGCCACCTGGCAGCCCAGATATAGTATTTTAGAATGATGAACAAAGTCCAGATTTTGACCAGTTATAAAATTACCCAGCAAACCCAAATTTAGCGAATGAGAAAAATTTTTCTTTTTTTTCTTTTTTTAAGATTTATTTATTTTGAATTTTTCTTATATGTATTTGTAAATATAATTCTTGTCTATATATAACTGCTGACTTTTAGTGCTAGTTTAAAGTTGATAACGTGTGTTTGCTTTCCTAAATTGTTCTAAATAGGTTCTAATCCTGATTTTCTCAGTTAGTAGCTGTATATAGCCTTGGGCCAATTGCATAAGCCAGCTAAACCCTGGTTCCCTTCATTATGAATATAATAGTAATAAAACAGTAAGTCATAAAGCCCGGCCCTTTCTAAGTGCTAAGTAAAGGTTAGCCACTATGGTGATTTTTGTAGATTAGTAGTAACTATTAGCTAGAGTTTGTCACGTTATTAAGTTATTTGACCAACATTTGAGAACTCCTTAGGACACTGTATGGTTTTGCAATTATTAAAATTGCATAGTGGGAGACCTGGTCTAATTTTTTCCTCAGGTTTCCTTTTGGACATAGTCCAGATCTATTTTAGATGATTTGCATATAAACTTAATGATGAGATGCAATATTCTATTAAATTGTTTAAGTTTATCCCAAGATACCACTTTACTATTGCATTTCATAATAGAATCTGGTAACTCTTTGTCTTTTTATCTGTTATTCCGTGTAATTTGCTTTTTGTTTGGTATTGCAGAAGAAATAACGCTTACATCCCCCCCCCAAATTGTTCTTGAAACAAATTATAAGGATATAAAGAAATAAAGGTAGGCTATAAGACCATGCCTTGTTGATTTAAATATGCTAACTTAAATTCCTATGAAATACAGACATCACAGGAGAGAACAAATTTATTCCCCAACAAAATTAAGGTGAAAGTATGAAGCATTAAATTGTGCAAGGTTTTGGAGGAAGCATATTAACATTTCTGTGCAGATAATTTAATTCTTATTTGTAATATGTGGTCTTTCACGTGGTGCTTGTCTTTGGGCAAGTATCTTGGGAAATAATAAACACTAATACAAAAACGAAGCATTTAAATTTTATTATACCTCAATTAAGTTGGAATGAGCTATTATGGAAAACCTAACTTTCTCAAAATTGCTTTTCAAACAGCAGCCGTTTATAAGGTTTTAAGTTTTGTCTCAAGGATAATAGAAGTGTGTTGAAAACAAAACTATTAATCACAACAAATTTGGGTGCCTTACTTGTGTTGTAGGTACTGACAAATTTAAGGAAAAAAAATAGATACAGTGCCTTCCCTCCAGGACCCTACATTATTTTCTGATCTTTAAAAAAATCACTGTGTTGGTTTTAGGAGTTTCAAGTACTGGCTAATGTTAACATTTTAGGATTATCTCATAAATTCAAGAATCTCCTAAATTCATAGAATTTCATGCTTCTTAAAATGATACTAAATGCTTTCTAAGGTAATCAACTTTTTATTGTGATATTTTCAAAAGTGATGGTTCTTGAAATTCACTTTCTAATATACAACTGAAACATCTTTTATTTGATGGTCACCAATAAGTGACTATAGCTGAAATAAAGTCTGCTTCTTGAAAGATGGGCTCTGGAGCCTTGTTTTAAATCCCAGGACACTCAGGAGCTGTGTGACCTTGAGCAAGTTAATTAACCTGCCAAAACCTGTTTTTCTCATTTGTAAACACAGGCAGGGCAGGGATCATATAGTTCATTCATAGTACCAAGCATGTAACATTGATACAAAAATTAGATCCACTGGTGACTATTGAGCATCTGATGAATCTTAGCTGCTGTTTTATGCAATGATTATTCATTATTTGCTTATTATAAATTTTTAAGCCTTTTATGGAAAAAATGCTTAAAAATATCAAAGAGAAAAATTTATTCATAATCCTACTCTTTCTCTCTTTAAATTTGTTAAAGTAAGAAGATTACATTCTCCACCCTCGCTTCTCATCCCTCTCCTTCCTCCCACCTCTCAGGTCATGATTTCAGGGTCCTAGAATCAAGCCCCACATTGGGCTCCCCAGTCAGTGGGAAGTTGCTTTTCCCTCTGCCTCTGCCCTTCTACTTGCTCATTCTCTCAAAATAAATAAATAAATAAATAAATAAATAAATAAATAAATAAATCTTAAAAAAAATAATAGTTCAGTGTGTTCTTCCCAATGTTACCCAATGCTTATGTAGCAGAGCTGTGTGATCTTGAACTCTTAAAGAAGCAAAATGGGTCTAGAAGTTTGCCTGAAGAAGGGATTGTAAGAACGATGACCTCTCCAGTGAGAATGGCTCAGAAGCATAAACAACCAAGTAGATGCAAGAAGTTCTGGCTGAACGTTCAAGCTATTGAAGAAGATGGTCCTCTTATTAGTTTTAATTCTTTATTGGATAAGGAAATATGGCCTCATTCTGAGTCTACCACAATGAGAAGTCTTCAGAGCTAGTAAAATGTGGCGGTGAGCGTCGTCACTGGCTTGCCATTGCTTTCACACACGTGCTCTCTCCTGCCCTGTGTCTTTGCATCCTGTCTGATACACTTTGTATCCTGTCCCATCTTTCTTTACCTGACTCATTCTTGATCATCCTTCAAGACTCCCCTCCTCCAGGGCAAACCACCCTGACAATTGGCTCCCATAGTAACCTGGACGTACATACCTCTCTCTTATGAAAGTACTGTTTGTGTCTCTTTTTCAAATTTCAGCCATAACTTGTACAGGGTGATGACCATATATTGACCATTTGTGTGTTCTTAGCACCTAACATGGTTAACTGGCATTAAGTTAAGGTCAGTATATGTTTATTGATCTATTTTTGAAATAAATATTTTTTTGAAATCCTGGTATGTACTCCAAATAGGAAAAAATGAAATTAATTTAATTATGAGGGATCTCTGGGTGGCTCAGCAGTTTAGCGTCTGCCTTTGGCCCAGGATGTGATCCTGGAGTCCCAGGATTGAGTCCCACATCAGGCTCCCTGCATGGAACCTGCTTCTCCCTCTGCCTGTGTCTCTGCCTCTCTCTGTGTGTGTGTGTCTCTCATGAATAAATACATAAAATCTTTTTAAAAAATAAAATAAAATAAAATAAAATAAAATAAATATAAAATAAAATAAAATAAAATAAAACACTATTTACTATAGCTATTTTCTGAGGGGTGACTGTATCAACATCACCTCTCTATCCTGGCACATGATAAAGACATAAATGTCATCAAATGATTCATAGCAGTGTGGTAGTAAAATGCTCATGACTTTAAAATGAAAACCCTGAGCTTTTCCTATTATTTTCAGTTTTCTACATAATATGTCAGTTTTTTGGTTAGCTTTAGATCAGACATGAGTATAAGAAAAAAAATAGACCAAATTTTTAAGTACAAGTCACATCATCTTAAAAGGAGAAAAAAAAGTTACTTTGTTTTACTCCTAGATCTTTAAAAGGAATGTTGAGAAAGTCACTGATGAATTCTTATAATGAACAAAATGCAGAATCCTATAGGTTTCAGCTTAAGTATCACTTTTATCAGAGCAGCTTGCCCTAACCTCTTCCCTCTGCGGCTCACATAAAATGGAAGACAATTCCACCATCAATCAGGACAAGCCTCTGAGTTATTCTTCTCTCTAAACTAAACAAAACAAACATTATGTCACCTAGTGGAACTCTTGGTGAGTCCAGAGAGCCTTAAATTTGTTCAAAATATACTTTTTTATAATAAAACTATAATGCGACAACCTCAATGTCTTGTATTCAGACTTGGTAACTAGAACAGAAGAGAATCTCTAGTCTGACCAATTTAGAATTACAATCTTAAGAACTCAAGAGTTTACATGAGAACCCTAAAGTCAATCCAAGAAATGTGCCAAATACTTTGAGATGTCAGAAGAAAATGGGCAGCATCTAAGGGACCCTGTCAAGTCTCCTCAGAAGCTGAAAGAGATGCTTGCCTACCTCTGGGCTCAAAGCTCGGTCTTGTAGCTCTTCACGTTTTCTCCCCTGGGGATTTAAGTCAAACTCCTCACTTCAAAATCACCTCTAAACAGTCTGATGACTTCAAAACATCTTATGATAGCCTTTCACCCTGAAGCATGTAGAACTCCGGTAGCATGTTCCTATTTGTCCGTGGGGCCTTTCCACCGAGATGCCTGTCCTGCTACCATTTCCAGTTCATCCTACCTGAGGTGAATTTAGGGATCCTTATTTCTACCTGTGGTCAATTTTCTCCTCCAAAGCTGAGAAATCACAGAGGTCCACCAAATTCAATTCGGTTCTTCTTCACAGTATCTCTTCTAAGAACCCCTTGCTGTACCTTGCATCTACTCCCACAAGGGCCCCTGATGGATTAGCAGAAGCAGGTCTACCCTATTTGCAGAGACTATTCCCAGGACTTGAGTAGACCTATATTCCTAAAGCACATCTTTCACCACATTCCTTCTCTGCTCCACAGATGGAAACCAGCAAGGGGTGGGAATTGGGGGGCGGGGGGAGGCGGAGGAGAGAAAGACACACACACAAACCTAGAAACAGACTCTTAACTATAGAGAACTGATGGTCACCTGAGGGGAGGTAGGTGTGGGGTTGGGTGAAATAAGTGATGGGGATTAAGGAGGGCACTTATCCTGAGGAGCACCGGGTGATGTGTGGGATTGTTAAATCACTATATTGTACAACTGAAATTAATATTATGTAATATTAATATTATGCTGTAAGTGGAATTTAAAAACTTAAAAGAGAGAGAGAGAGAGAGAGAGAGAGAGAGAGAGAGAGAGATGGAGTCTGTAGAGGCTACTTTTAGGTACCAGGCTTGAGTGATGGAAACCTGACCCAGGCACAAGGGCCCACAGTGACAGGCCCCTCAGGAGACCCACCTCAAGATACCCATAAGCCTTAACTGAGCAATGGGCTACTTACAACCAGGTACGACTACAAGAAAAGGGAAAAATGCCATGTGGCCACACCGCCTCACCTTCCCCTTTTAAGCAGCCTGCACCCCCTGCCCTGTTGCACTCAGGCTTCTCTGCGGTCCTGCCCGCTGCCCCCACTGCACCCCTTTGCGGGTGTATTCAGTAAGCATCTATCTATCGCCTCTATTCTGCCTCAGGTGAAATCTTTCTCCACCCACACCATGGGCTTTGACCTATTTGGGGTCATCCCACATTTGGGGGCCCCTATCGGATCGGAGACACGTGACAGATTCTCTACCACTAAAGGAAAAGATCTCTGATGGTTCATTGTAAGCATCACCTGCACTAAGGATGCCCAGACACTGGTTAAACATTACTGCTGGCTGTGTCTGGGAGTGTTTCTGGGAGCAATTAGCATTCGACTTGGTAAACTGAGTAAAGCAGATGGTCCTCCCCAGGGTGAGTGGGTATCATCCAATCCCATGCGAACAAAAAGGCAGAGAAAAGTTGAGTATATTCTCTGCCCTCCTGAGCTGGGACACTGATCTTCCGACTGCAGCATCCCTGGTTCTCAGGCCTTCAGGCTTGGACTGGAATCTACACCCTCCGTTCTGCAGCTCTCAGCCCTTCAACCCGCACCCCTGGCCTTCCTGAGACACCAGCTGCAGATACGGGGGTTTCTCAGCCTCCATTATCACGTGAGCCAATTCCTGATAATGAATCTCATTCTTATTGGTTCGATTTTTCTGGACAACCCTGATTAAGACAACGTTCAAGGAGTAGCCTGGTGTTGCCCTCAAGCTCCCTCTCTTTCCATTTCTCATTACAGCTCCTTTAGCTGGTTACCACCTCAGGCCAAGTCAATATACTCAGTATCCCCAGAACACTCCACAAGCATTCCTACTCCTGAAATTGGCGGTGGGGGGGGGGGGGGGAGTGACATCATACACTCATTTGTAAAGCAATTAACATATTAGACCCAAAATTTCACAAATCTGTTCTAATGATGACTTTTTAAAAAGTAGATACATTTCTCACAAAAGGGAATGCCAGACAACTAATATTACAAACTTTGTAATTCATTTTCATAAAGACCTGGGAAATGGCTGTGGTGCAGTATTAGGCTAAAACAATTAGAATAAAAATATATGCAGGACAATCTTAATTTTGTAAGACACATACACAATGTGCACAGGACTTAAAACACTGTTGTCTCTGGATATGAGTATTGTAAGAATTTGCAAATGTCGATTTACAATACATAGCACAGTTCGAAACTCACCTTTCAGACTATTCTTAGCTACACAGTCTTTCTGTTTAATAAATACTGGAGATACAAGTCTCCACCACAGCAAATACACTTCAGAAAAGACCTCTTATTATGAACGCTCTCTGTTACTGCAATGGGAAGAGTTTTATAAAACCTCTAGCTTTGTGCACAAAGAAAGAGAACACTCTTCCCCGTTTTTCAGTATCTTTCCTCCATTGGTAGCTCTGGTCTTTTTCTTCATATTCCATCTTGTTTTTCATATCCATTCAGATTTTTCATATCCCATCCTTTTATTAACCCCAAACTAGAACATCCTGGATTAAAAACTATCTGCTTGCTTTCCTTCTTATGAAGTTTCATTCTTTCAGTTCCACTTATACGTAAGTTATATAAGCTTTTGATTTATCAACTCCTAGATCGACAATGGCTTATACAGATCCTTCCTGACTTATGAAAGGGTTACATCCCAATATACTTATTGCAAGTTGAAAATATTGTAGGTGGAAATGCACGTAATACGCTTAACCTACAGATCATCATAGCTTAGACCACCTTCCTAAAATGTGCTCAGAACATTTATAGGAGCCTAGAGTTGGGTAAAATCATCTAACTCAAAGTCTATTTTATAATAATGTGTTGAATGTCTCGTGTAATTTATTGATTATTGTCAATTCATTGACTACTTTCAATTTATTGAAAGTGAAAAACAGACTGGTTCTATGGGTACAAAATGATTCATCGTTTACCCTCATGATCACCAGGCAGACTGGAAATGAGCTTCCCCACAGCTGCCCAGCATCATGAGAGTACCTTGCCACATCGCTAGCCCAGGAAAAGGTCAGAATTCAAATTCTGAGGTAAGATTTCTACGGAACACATACTGCCTTTGTACCACTGCAGTCAAAAAATCCTAAATCAGATCATCATAAATCAGGACCACTGATCAGGACCACTACACATTTTGGTTCTGCTATGACACCTGAATTAAATTCACTGCAGGTCCTTAATAAACATTAGTTAAAAACATCACCGCCACCACCACATCAAAAAAGGGTCCTGACCACACCTAAGGGGGGAAAAGTAACATTCTGCATGTTTCTAAATGACCCATGTGTATTCCTTTGGGCAGCTCCTGTTACACTTACCTACTGTAAACTTTAGTTACTAAATTGTTGATTTGTTTGTCAATTTTGTATTTTCGGTAATCTTCCAAACCATCTTTAATTGCAATAATCGTAAGGACCACCACCAGAGGCAGCATTGTAATTTCCTTTTGGAAGGCTTCCACCAAAGGCACCCAGTTCAAGACAGCTAGAAACAGGAAATATAAATTGGCGGCCCTGTAATCCAAACACACACGAAGAAGTGTTAACAAATCACATAAAAGCCTAAAGCAAAAGGTTCAAAAAATACCTTAGGGCATTTTCCTACAAGTTTTTGATGTTACAGAATAGAGAACTAGCAAAACCTAACAAATCTGAACAATTCATAGCTCCTGTAGACATCCAGCTCATGGCATTACTGTAATAAAGGAGAGGTATTCTTTCTTAAATATATAATAGTAAATATGAGTGTGACAGTCTTGAGTTGTGTAAAACATAAGAAGCATAACTGAAAAGACTATTTTCTTTTTAAGAGCTCAAAAAATTTAGAGGAAATTCAATGCTAACACACTGTAGAAATAAATTTTTAAAAACCTCAACTGTCTGGCTTCAGAAGTTAATTTGCATGTCCAAACATTAGATTCAAACAAAGCTCAAAATAAATAAAGAAGAAACCTGAAAGGTTTCGTGTTTTTTTTTTTTTTTCTCCTTGAGACCAATCCTTCTATTTTAGCTTTTATGAGATTCACCATCTTCAGGAACTTCTTCTACTCCCTTATTTTATATATTTAATTACCCACCTACAGGCCCCTAAGGTAAATTCAAGTAGCCCATTTCCTTAAAAGAACTATAATCTCAATTCTTCATAGCCTCTTCCATTTTTATCATATCATTTCCCTCGTTAACTATTAAATTTCTCAAAATTAATTTACCTACATTTTTCCTTCCTCACCGCCAACTCCTTTTATTAACTGAAAATTTCTTTCTCAACCCCTTTTTGCTACTTTTTTGGCTTCAATTATTTCCATGTGGAGTGTATCCAAACCTACACCGAGGACCCTTGAACTCTGTTCAGGTTTCAGATCCTGATTCCCTCAAGGGCACTAGACTGCAAACTTCATAAAAGACAGAATCACCCAATAGCATTTAGAGCCTTAATTCAGCAAATTCCCATCTATATTTTTAAATATACCCATCATTTAATCAATGCACATGGAATCTACATAGAGTGAATAATGAGAATGAATATATGTAGAATGAATCATGAATGCTGAGAATCTATATACTCACATTAGCATCTCAAACTCAACATTTCCAAAAAAATAAAAGTCTAACCAAGTTTCTTTTTATTCCTATCTTTAGCTTTTTCTGCTAATCCTTCTGGTCCTCTCAGCTCAGTATGTTCATGCCATCTTTTTACTTAATTCCCCACATCTAATCCATAATATCTGAAATAGATAAACTTTCTTTTCATTCTCACATTCTTCTAAGCTCAGGTCTTACCATTCACCAGGGGATATGGAGCATCTCCCTACACGTTCTCTCTGCCTTTGCTTTACTTCTAATTGCTCCAGGTAGAGGGCTCCACGCTCCAGACCTCAAGCAATGTATGCTACTGCCTTCCTGCTTTTATTCATTACCCCTTCCTCCAGCTGAAATGTGCTTTGCTGACACCTCTGCCTTGAAAATCTCACCTGCTCTCTATAATTTTTTTTCATAATTAAGTTCAAATGCCAAATGTCATTTCCTCTTGCTGTTCTCTCTCTTCTGAGGCTTCCATCCTACTTGGTAGACACTTTACATCACTCATCACACCCTAAATGTGATGTCTTTTCATTGCATACACATCTTGTTTCCCTTGCTAGACTGCAAACTTCATTAGGAAAGAAGCACCATTTAGATGTGTATTTCCTTCAATGCCTAAACGCATAGGAGAGCTTCAATAACTACATATTAAACTGAACTATGTCACTGCTTCACCTGGTAGCATCTTACATCTGCACTTGCTTCAGAGCTCTATTTCCCCCATATCGCCCAGTAAGAAAAAGCTAAAATTAAAACACAGCATGGTCTAATGGAAAGAATATGGAAGCAAGAGTGAAAAGATTCAAGGCTAGGGCCCCTGGTCTGCTCCTTATCACTGGCATGATGTTGGGTAAACCACAGTAACAAACTTCATTTTCTAATCTACAATAGGAAAACAACAATATCTTCTCTGGTCAAGAAAAAGCATCTTACCAATTGTAAAGGGCTCAACACTGCATCACAAACTCTACTAGAATTGTCAAAGAAAATGTCCCAAGTCTTAGCTTATGAGGTGACATATGTTACAGAAATTTTAAAAATCTTATATCAACTAGAATAACAATGACCATGCTAAGATTTTTTTTCAATAAATAAATAAATAAAAATACCTGTGAAATTGTTCAAATAGATTTCTTGGCACAAAATTTAGAAGTGTGTATTTTGTTGTTCGTATTCGGTTATTCACGTAGGTGCCAGAGAACTTTTCATACTCATCCTTGAAGGGCCGAAGGTGGGGAACGACAACCCGGTGCCTCCCCGCCACTTTGGGAGTCTGAGAGGACTTGCCCCCACAGGCCAGCAGAGAGGAATAGTTGTATGGCCTCTCATCATCATCCCTGTTTGTGCCGCCCGTTAGTCGCTGCCAGTGATACCTGGCCCATTGCAGAAACTCGGTCATGTCCAAAATGCGCTGAGATCCGGGGTATGCAGGTAACCTAGCAAAACAAACAAAAACCCCCTAAAACACTTCGCATAAGCTTCCAGAAAGTCTTAGTATGGGTAGTAAAATTAATTTTTTTTCCATATCAAACAATATATGACCCAATGGGTATAAAGTAAAACTAGGCTTTGAAACTAGTAAATGGTATAATAAGTAAAGCTTGTCTTTGGAACTTCCATTTTAACAAAATTCTTATTAAATAAAGCAAACACCTTCTGCCTCAAGAGCCAACCATCTGATCATTGAAGCGATAAGAGACAGCACCTAAAAGCCACTCCATAACTTGAAGCAAGTAATTTGGGTTTAACGTGGACAAGCCTCTCAATTTATCTGATAATTAGCTTTCTCATCTTTGAAGTGGGAATGCCACACATGTCAGGAAATTTTTGTTAAGGACTGAATGACTTACATGTAAATTATCCAGGATAAAGCTTGATACAGAACAAGCAGTCCATAAAATCCATTCTGTGCAGATTTTATAAAAATGGCCACAAATTCCTTCCATTCCTAGATATACAATCTTTCATCCATCAAGTGGGAGGACCCAATGAACCTGGGCTTGGCCATGTGCTTTTCTTTGGGTAATGGAAGACCAGTAAACACAACAGAAGCAGAGGCTTGAAAATTCAGTGCTTGCTCATGGAACAACTTCTCTCTCTCTCTTAAAAACTCTGTGACCTCTACCAGGTGTCTGAGTACAGGCTAGTTTACTAGATGATGAGTACACATGACCCACTTACCACCACTGCTCCTGTCAAAACATGGGTAAGGCCAACGACTCCCAACTGACCATTAACCCATCCGTGTGCCCAATGACCCAACCTAGAACAGAGATGAATTGTCCCAACTGAGCTCAACCCAAACTGCCAACCCACCCAAATTGTGAGTCAATAAAAATTACATCACCAAGTTTTTAGGGTGGTCATAAAACAAAATCTAATTCTTATATGGTCTCTTCCTTATTTTCCTTATTTCCAAGTTTTCCTTATTTTCAGCCCTGCTTAGAATGTAAGCTCATTAATTTAAAAGAAAACAATAGCTAAGAGCATACCATATTCTAAGCATTTTGCAAAACATGTTACGTGCATTATCTTATTTAATAATTACATCAATCTTATGACACAGGTGTTTCTATTTTACAAAAGAGTAAACAGACTTAGAGAATAAAGTAACTTGCTAATAAAAACGTATATGGTTTGTAAGTAGGTAAGGCGGATTTAAACTAACTCTAACAGTTACTGCTTTAATTATTAATGTGCTTCACGGATTGTTGAATCCAGAGTAGCTGGCACTTAGATGTTCAATGAAAGTCCATGCTTGGTAACTAGCATGTCACCAAGATGTAGAGGACAAGGTCTGGAGGACTTGGTTTCTATTCTTACTTATCAGTGTCATTGCATTTATTTATCCCCTTCCACTGGAGTTCACCTCTGGAGATTATTTAACAAATCAGTGAGTTTGTTCTGGTAATCTGAACCATTAACAAAACTCCCCAGACCACATCTAGAGAAAAATGAGGTTATGTGCTAGCAACTAGAGCAGGCTAGGAATACAGAGATGCAGAGATGATTTAAGACCTAGATCCCTTTTCTCTAAGCACTCAGGGTCTAGGTGAGGTGACAGGCATGTAAATACATAAATGCAATCCCAGGTATAAAATGGGTGTTTGAGGCTCTTAAGTAGTTTGGGCAAATTATTTAAGCTGACTTCCTTCCTAAGCTTCATTCTAAGTTTATAACATGTCTATGGATTATTTTCTCTAAAATGTTATATTAATTAGAAATTAATAGGTTTCCCTCTAAGAACATTAAAATTGTATCCGACTTTCACGGATCTGAAATCATAGATCATTACCTAATAACCCTGAAGATCTGGTCCAATGACATTCTAGTAATGTAGTCAATATTTCTAATAATTGATTCTTGCTAGCTCACTTATGTACTATACATCGGTCCTTAAGCAATCCAATGGATTACAGTTTGCGGCATCACTTTATGATTGTATTTACAGAAAGTAAACTGAACTACAAATAATAATCTAAAAGTCCACCAGACCCTTAAAAATTTTGTGACCTAAAGCAAAATAATAAAAATAAGTAAGAGCAGAAAGTCCTTTTAATGGGAAGAACACAACAGCCTCCAAGTGTGTGTATCTGGATATTGAACCCACAATATGTAACCTCTATTACCACTGAGAGAAAATATTCGTAAAGTCAGTCTTATCAGGGTTTTTTGTTGTTGAGAGCCCAAGTGGTGGGGAGAGGCAGAGGGAAAGGGAGAACCAGATGCCCCGCTGAGCAGGGAGCCAGATGTGGGGCTTGGTGCCAGGACTCAGAGATCATGATCTGAGCCAAAGGCAGATGCTTAACCATCTGAGCCACCCAGGGGCCCCAGGCTTTTCAATTTTATACTAATGATGAAAAAGCAAAAGCAAAACAAAACAAAACAAAACAAAAAAAAGTCTATCCTTCTCAGGTCTCTGTTTGCTCTCTAAAATTGTATGTGTTCACCAAGAGTTAAATCGGTAAACATTGGCCAAATATTTCTATCTTTTCAACATAATTTTTTAAAAGCCCACATCTGAAGTAATGTGAAAAGTCTGGTTTTCACTTCGGGGTATAAAAATAGCTTCTTAACCTATAACTAGTAATGACAGTTTGTTATTAAAGTAATTCATAACATATCCAGAAATCTCCCCCGGAATAAGGATGTAAGAAAGTGCTTTATAAATGAATCAATAGATAATGTAAAAATACTAAGTGCTTTCCATGCATTTCGCCCCATGCATGTCAGGGGACTTAGGACAAACTTCGTGTTCCTCAGAGGGTTGAAATTTTACAGTATTTCTAGCAACTTTAAGTTTTCATTTGCAATTAAATTCTTAGTAAGACCTAGGAGTGTGTGTATCCTTCTGGCGTCCACAATCTCAACAGTAATACAGATTCTACTTAAATTTTTAAATTCCAAAGTATAATTTCTTGAAAATGTAAACAGGAATACTTAGACAAATATGACATGTGGGAGGTGTTCATTTCTGGTAATTCACTGTCTATCTAACAACTCCACCCTAGCAAAAACACTTAGTGGTTCACAAAAACAATCAGCTTTTCATTCCAAGGCTCTATTCCAGAATCTTCTCTCTCCCCAACTCACTCAGTTGCAAAGAGACAAATCTATGACGGGAGAACATTTCATTCCCAGAATAGCCCCACCTCCACCACCGTCCGTGACCCTTCAATGCCCTTAGATTTTTGTTAGATGCTCTATTTACTCAAAGATCGTCTTCCCCCTTCCCCACTTTCTTCTTCCCAAGGAATTCTGGTGAGGATAGAATTGGGGCTAGTTATTGGCCTCCTCAGCCACTGAATCTGCATCCTTTTCTCTAACACCAGGGGCTCATCATCTTACAAGGCCTTCCTCTCAGCACCGCCATGTTCTCCTGAAAAGTGATTACCAGATCAAAGGACTGATCTACACAAGACAGAGGCGGTGTTAGCATTCTCCAGGGAAAAAAGACCAGATGTGGAGATAATAACATGGTAAAAATCCTTTCAAGCTTCCAGTTCAGAATTTAAACCATTTTATCTTGAGCAGGAAAACCAAGGATCTACTTAGTCATTGTAGTTCAAGCGTTTTCAAAATTTATCAACTGCCAGGTCAGTGAGAAATGGGTTCTTTGAGGTAACCACCTAGAACCCACACACCCACATACATATACAGCTGAAACAAAAATTATAAAACAATTCTTATCCTTATTACTTGCAATGTATCCATTTTCTATTCTACTCTATTCTCTCTCCTCTCTCTCTCTCTCTCTCTCTCTCTGTCTCACTCAGTCTCTTTCTCATTTTCATGCTGGTCAAGATGCAATGGGTTGGTTTCAAGGTCTACTAATAGCGTTGCGATACACACTTTGGGAAGACACCACATGCGGTTCCACATGGGCTGAAAGCACACAAGGAAGTGAACTGATCCACTTTCAGCTCCTGCTCTGGTAGAAAGGCAGGGAAAACAGCAGCTGGACTAGAATGTTCCGGGAGGGCAACACTTTTCCCACCCAACTGGGAGGAGACAGCCTTTTAACCTTTCTCCATCTACCCCCGGCAAACCCCCAAAATATGTGACTATGTAAAGAAGGCTCTGCTATTAATAATAGTTCACATAAATATTCAGCAAAATTTCTCTAAGATATGAAAGGAAAGCAAATTGGAGTAAATCATATCTCATTAAGAATCATCATGAATCATATTTTAAAGCTCAGACTTTAGAGATTTATCTAACCCAGAGGTCCCAAACCAATGACTCCTAAGCAAAATTCTACTCGATGATGCATCTTGTATCATAATTTTTTCAAATATAGGACTGGCATTTCAAATAGAGATAAATTCACATAAAATACTGATACTTCGTTTCTCTTAAAAGGAAAAAAACCCACCACAGAATATTGGGCATATATTTTCACATGATAAATGTCAGAAGACTTCTTTTTTTTTTTTTTTACTATAGCCCTTGACCCTAACCCTTCATTTTCTAGCTCCCTTGTTTTAATTCAGTGAATGAGCACTCTGTTCACCACTTTTCAACAAATCACATTCTTTCTGCCCTAGAGACTGGCTTGACTATCAGCTGCAGCATCACTTATTAGGTGTGTGACCTATGTAATTAACCTCTGCGCCTCAGCTTGCTAATGAAAAAAATGAGACACCTTGAAGAGCCATGGGATACACTGGAGACAATGTTCATTCTGTTCCCCACTCTCACTCTCTTCTCTGGCAATTTCTCAGGCCATACAGAAGTCAAGGTTGGTAACCCTGTAAGTTGGGCAGAGATCCAAGCTGTCAATATACCTCTCAAATTAAATAAAGTTGTCCAACCCTAAGGGAACACTCAGTTCAATATAACTGTTGATAGCATGAAGTAGGATGCAAATAGAAGACCAAATAACCACAAAAGATGGGCATGACATGAAATGGCCTTCACACTATCTGATCTCTTC